GACGTTGGAACTCTGCCCGACGTTGTACTGGATTTCAACCTTGAAGTGATTTTCATTGTAATATGATCGTCTTAAATTTCAAGGACGAGTCAGCCATTTATATTTCAAACAAACACTAGTGAAACTTTTTCAGCTGGGCGTGACCCCATGATTTTTTCCCTTTTCAGGGTTTTACACATAAAAATCCTGGTGTTATAATTTCTCCTATGTTTGTGTGCTAGATATCCGCAAATCGCTGCGAATATTCTAATCTGCAACAAGTATCAATTTGAAGGGACTTATAATGAATGGCTCGAATTTAGCTGCTTGAGGACTTTCCCAGCATTTTGTAGGATCATATGTCGCGGATAAACATAAAATGTCACTTTCTTAATATTCATTCCTTATATAAAATGCATGTGATAAACTCACAAGTTTCAAAGTGACATGACTGTTTGAGTGATAGGTGGTTCCACAAAAGAATATGAAGTGACCATTTGAGCATAAACATCAAATATTCAATGATAAGGTGCAATTGTGGAGAGAAGAGTTTAGGATAGGTAACTTAGAAGAAAGACTAATTATAATATGACTAGTTAACAAGTCCAACCGAATGATTACCAACTAAATGCAAATCTGTCATCAACTTGCAGAGAATCTCATTGTTTCATTGGCCCTACAAAAATTCGCCCTCTATAGAGAGAAATTATTATGTGTGGATATCGGACAGTTCGAGACCAATCAGAATGCGCGACGTCATCCGGTACCAAGCATCAATATCGAGCAAAAAAAATGAAGCGGCGCGTTCTGATTGTCTCCTGTGTTTGCAAAGAATAGTTTTTCCTATAGAGAAATGGAAAGGCTTATCAATTTCTGATATCTCTTCATTAGGAAAACTAGAATAAGCTTGCGTGGTGTGTGGATGGATACTTGTGCAGACGATACTGAATCTTGATGAAAAAGTAAAGGGATTAAGTTGTTTTATTTGTTCTTAAATCATTCTACGACCAACAATATAAGCAAAGCAGCAAGGAGGTTGAGAAGTAGGAGGCATCTATTCCAAAGGAAGGGAAGCTGAATCGTGAGCTAATTCGGGGCTCATTCAAGACCCTAGGAGCAGCTAACGTGGAAGAAAGAGGAGCCCGTGTCCGATGAAAAATCGGCAAGAACGGAGGAGGATCCAAGGTCGGAAAAGCAACCTTGTTATCAATCTGAAACCGGAGGGAGTGAAGTGTGATCGAGGAGAAACATAAACCCACGGAAGGTGGAAAGAGGACAGAAGGCGGCACTACAGCCCTACGAGCAGGAGTGACCAACATCGAATGCATAGCATTCGGAAAAACGCCATAAGGCGTCAGCGTCGAGGATTGCAAAGCTAGGGCAACCTGCTAATTCGAAGCGGCAACGAAAATACAACGAGAAAGAAGCAGAAAACGTGAACTCGGCGTCGAGCGAGCTCATGCGAGCGGTGGCCCTTTGGGTGTGGAGGGCAAACAAGGGTGTCGGCAGGAACCTGACCGCGAACTCTGTTCTCATTCCGCAATGGCGACTTTGAACCCATTCATGACGTTCGTCTCGCGGGAGTGGGGGGAGCTCGATCCCGGAAGATCTACGGAATGATGACGGGTCACTTTGAGGAAACTATAAGATACTTTAGTCCTAAGCTAGCCAAAGAGTAGGGGTGTGAAAACCGATCATGGGTTCAAATCCGAGTTGACCCGGGTATAAATGGGTCAAAGTGACCCGTGCGGGTTATGGTTGACCCGACCCGACCCATGAAAACTGATGTGAATTGTTGACTGCGAACAGGTGAGGCCAGCCAACGCAGGCTGAGACGGTAATTGGCACGGCGGCCTGATGCGATGGAGGATATACGGTGGAATGGCGGTGCCTGAGCGACCTGCCGACTGCTACTTGTGTCTGCCGAGTGCTGACTTGGCCACTTGGAAGTTGGGTCTCACGAGACGTGGAGACGATTGGCATGCTAGCCGGACTAGCAGGAACGACCCATTGGAGCGGCCAGTTGGAGCGGCCTGCACGGCTTCTGACGAGATGGCGACGTGACGAGATGCGATGGATTGACAGAGACGGCGACCTGACAACGAGTCTGTGCTGGAATGATGCGCGACGCAACTCGGGAGTCGGGATGGGACATAGACTCTCTCAAGTTTCGGGTCAAAACGGGTTGATTTCGGATTTCCAAGTCAACCCGAACCTGACTCGATTTTACAAATGGGTCAAAAACTCGAACCCTAACTGACCCATAAAGCAAATGGGTTGACCCAAACCCGAAATTTTCTGGGTCGGATCCTGGACAAGTTTCGGGTCATGTCAAATATTGTCACTCCTACAAAAGAGCTTGAACTAATATAGATTTAGTACAAAAATGAGATTAAAAGGTTTGTCCAAATGCTAGAGCCATGTGAAAGCAATGCATTCTGCTACTCAATGGCAATAATATTATTGCTTGGATTTGGTAGAGTAAAGCCAAGTATTTATCTCAATGAATCTCAATTAACACGACCAACGAAGGAAGTAAAATATCTTATTGTATATTGATCAACGATGTGAAATTTTTTGAGCTCCAATCGTGTCGAAGATCGCCGGTGTAAATATCTTCAAACTTCAAAGTTTGCTCGAGCAAAGATCACCATCACATTCTTCACATTCAATGGATCAAATTCAGTGACATTCATGTATTTTAGTGTGAGGAAGTCAAGCTTGATATTTATTGAAGTGGGGAACTCGATTACTAACAATGTTTGCACAGAGATGCGATGGTTGGAATGGGTTATGGCATGTTCGGGTGCACAAGATGTGCGAGGAGATGTGGAAGGTGGTGTCACTAGGGTTGGTCTCAGCATTTAACCATGATGGTCTTGCAAGGAGATAGCGATAAAAAAAAAAAAAACAGAGATAGGGGTGGCTTAGAGTTGCATCACACAAGAAGAAACCTTAAGAGTTTAATTTAGGTTGTTGCGTCCTGGAATATTCACGGTGGTTGAGAAATATAAAGTTTAATGTCATAATTTTGTGTGGAGATTCAGCACACAATCAGATAAAATAGAGAGTGCATCGTTTATAAGAGACACTAAGATTTTTACGTGGAAAACCCTGAAAAGGGGGAAAACGACGGAGTATTGCCCAATTTGAATGAATCCACTATTATTTGTAGTTGATTACAAATGAGGCCCTTCATTGGGGGGAAGGTCTTGGCTTGATCTAACAAATATACATTATATAAAGTGCATTACAAGGTGGGAATTGAAAGAATCACTATTGACGTGTTCATATGATCGGAAGGACCATAATCGGTGGGTGACGGATGACGGAATATCATAGTTGGGTGACGGTGGTCCAAAGGTCGAAGGGCGACAGTGGTCGGAAGGACCGTAGTTGGCGGGTGACGAATGTCAGAAAGATTGTTGTCTAGCGACAGAGGTCGAAAGGACTATTTTTTTGCGATGAAGGACAGAAGGATTGTTGCTAGTGGTTAAATGGAAGTCCGACATCAATTTGTTGATGAGCATAAGTCAGGCATCAGTTGGTGGTCGGGTGTAAGCCCTGTGCCATTCGATGGTCGGGTGGAAGTCCAACGACAGCTGGTGAACAAGCATAAGTTCGGCGTAAGTTTTGTTGTCAATTGTAAGTTTGGAGTGGTTTGAATGGACTTCCAATGTTGATTCCGTTGATCACAAATTGTATATTGGACATCTGAATGCCTTAGTGATGTCAAAACTTGACAATCCCATGCTTGTTGGATTCGTCTCGTCGAGCCGCTCGATTTGACTATAAGAATGTCATGTTTGGAAAATGTTTGGTAATTCAAATTATAGTTTGAACCTTCCAAATTCTCTTCGGGTCTTTGATTTGGACCCATTTGAGCTCGGATTGGGTCAAATTTGGTGTCGTTAGGTTCGTATTTTTGAGACGTTTAGTTCGACCGTAAGTTTGCTGAAATTGGAGTTCTGATAGTCTCGGATTTAATTTTTGAAGTTTCCAATTTGATTTTGCTTCCAGATTCGTGCCTGAGCAAGATAATTTTTTGATGATATATCATAGGTGATGAACTTTACATGAATTAATTAAATCATTTTATTCGACTAATTAGGCAAACATATAAAACTAATCATTAATATATATATATATATATATATGATTTGCTACATCAATTAAGGCCTTCACTAACTTGATAGGACTTTTGGTTAAGTACAGAGAACTAATCACAATTAGGGTTCCAATAAATTTAGGTGACCCCAAATTTCTGGATAAACACATAAAAAATAAGTTATCTTAATAAAATCATATATTTGGATCTCACATCATCTTTAAAAAAAAATCTCTATTTTTCAATCATCAAATGTAAACATTGATTTGAAGGACCAAACTTACTACCAATGCCCTAACACTCCCACCTTCGGAGTCAGTAAAAGGTGAAATTATTACGTGTTGTCACCGGACATCATTGTGAGGCGAATTAGGAAGCGTCACATCAACATTTTGTTGTGTACTGGTGCTGTGTATCGTTGTATACTGGGTGACGTGGTGCATCCTGATTCGTTTTGGGACGGTCTAGTGACCGCATATATTAATTTCTCCAGTGAAAGAAGTCTAATAACGTTGTGATTAAGTCAACATCTGGTCAGAACCGCCATGGGTTGTCGGTAGGGCCAACTATTCATCATCTATTGCATTAAACAGGATTGCGTCATTTTAGGTTAAGCTGATGTTTCCTATTGCCTTGCTAGACAAAAGTGTCAGTAATTTGTACGCTGAATGCATTATTTTATGAAATACTGATAAATTGAATCAAGAAAACTATAGTGTAGAACATAGTAAATATTCGATATGTTTGACACAGTAGATGTTGCAGTGCAAAAAAATGGGAAAAAATAAAAAGAGAGAGGACCCATTCACTCTCTCTCTCTCTCTATCTCTCTCTCTCCACTCAATTAGTAACACAACTAATTTTCTTTCACAAGATGCCAAATCCCTTAGCAGTCTCTTTGTTTTTCATGCAGGTTGTCATGTGCTGGCTGGAAGTGAGCAAATTCAGCTTCAAAAACAGCTTTGAAAAGAGGAAACCATGGATTTTAGAACAACTTTTCATAAAAAATGCATAACAATGGATCACAATAAGCTGTTAATTAGACCATTTGAAACTATAACATAGCGATTTTCCTAATTAGCTTTTTGCCACTGCGACGGGTTCCTCTGTTTATGAGTCCCTAAAAGCTGCTTCTTGTAAAACCATAAAATTTGATATTATGACTTTGTCAAATTATGACTTTATCTGAGACGGCTTTTTTTCTTCTTAAAGCAGTTTTTTAGTATAAATTTTATACTAAAAAACTGATTTAAAAAGTAGAAAGAAAGCCATCTCAAACTAAGCTTATGTTTTCAAGCTACTGTTACTCTACAGTCTAACAAGTTTCTATTTTCTGCGGGCATTGGAAAGATGAGGTTAGGATCATCTTTGCCAATTTGTATATACTTTCATGATTACAATCATTAAATCATGGTGCCTTTTAGCAGACATCAACTGACAAAAAGTCGGTGGATTTGATATGTGGTTTGTTTGTGTATCTTTTGATGGTAGTAATGATGGTGATGATTTGGGCTAATGGAATATAGGGTATTCACACTAAGGGCATCTCCAATCGAAAACATCATTTTTCACGGCAATGTAATGCAAAATTCTAAAATGGCGCGGTGATGCTTCAATCGAACGTCATTTTAGGTGTTTTTGAGAAGGTAACGATCGCTCTCCCTTTCGCACGTTTTTCCAGTTGAGAGCAAAAAATGGCGTGAGTGAACAGTGTGATGCCAATATTGGTGTCGCACTGTTTACCTGCGATTAAATGACGGAAATTTTCGCGTTCGGTTGGAGCGACGGAACGACTCCATACACGTTTAGCGTTCGGTTGGAGATGACCTAAGTTACTCAATTGGTGTTACGCAGCTCACTGTGATCAGTTGGTTGAGAGTTTTAATTATTTACATATTTGATGTGTGCGAATTTATTTTAATTGACTCAAAAAAATTGAATTGGTGTTCATCTTTGAAAGTTTTAAGTAACTAGCATATTAAAAATCTCTAGTTCTTTAACTTGTGATGTTTTATTATCCTCATTTATGTTTCATTTGAAACGGGGTTTTTTACTGCTATTTAAAGCATTGTTTTAGAATTTATGTACCAAAAAGTCTTAGGCTTCATTGGACGGCTTTCTTACTGCTTTTTAAAGCATTTTTTTACTAAAAAAATAAATTTTGTTGCACTAAAAAGCTGTTCTAAGAAGCAGTAAGAAAGCCATTCCAAACAAAGCCTTAAAGTCTTAAAAATATTATGGTTGAGATCTTTTAATATTGCTGTTACTCTATTTTAAGTTTTTAAGTGAAAGTTTAAAATACTTGCAAGTGATATATGTTAATAGCACTCATTCATATAATAGCTACAAAGTTAACTGTTTGTAAATTTGATTTCAACCTTGGTTCACAACTCTACAGGCCTGTAGGAATCTCGGATTGGGATCATTTGATTTCAGGGAGATACAAGTTATAATATCACTATTTATGAGATTGAAAAATAGGCATTGGTGAATGAATTTTTTAACTAAAAGTTTAGCGAACGTGTACAAGCTTCATTACTGTTTTAGGAACTTGACACTAACTAGTTAGAGCTGAATAATTCTCTTATTTCGAAATCTAATTTTATTTTTGTTGCAAAACTATTCTCTCCCCTCTCCTACTAAAATGAAAAGGAAAAAGAAAGAGAGGCAAAAATAGAGGAAAAAGTGAGGGAAGTTGTCTGTATGTGGAACACCGCTGTAGTCATTGGTACGAGAAACTATTCTATGCGGAGATTGGATGTAAAACGTCGTTCGGAGACCAACAAGAATCTACGATATCAACGGTACCGAGTTGCGGTACTAAGCGAAGGGATGATGTAGATTATTTTGATTGATCTCTGGACAATGTTCGACATCTGCACGTAATAATTAATCCATCAGTACACCTGTTAGAAATTATGAAAATCTTTGCAATTAGTCTTGCTTGAGAACATGAGCCCCTCCAACATCGCTTCAACAAGTAGTAATAACAGTTATGACATTCATCTCTGTTTTTATATCTTTGGGGAGATTTGACAGCACCAACGACATCGTAATTGTGCTCTTGAGTCTTGAGAGCTAGTGTTTACCTTTGCTGGAAGCCATCTCTTCATTCTTCACTTTTGCGCGACCGATGAGTTCTACCTACCATAGGTGGCTTCCACTATAATGCTCGATTCCTGATTCTCTAGGCTGCAATTTAGACTATATGCATCCTGCCTTAGTAATCGATAGCCATCCTTTTGTGGCTTTTCCAATATTGAGATGATTAACTTCATATTCTCTGCAACCTTCAATGATCGGTTGCCACATCTTATCATTGCAAGCTAATTGTTATAGCTTCTGATGACCCACCGATGCTTAGCTTCATTGGTGAGCATGCTCGATTGGGATCCTCCAATCCCGAGTTCGATTCCCTCGAGCGGCAGTCGCCCCTTCAGTGGGTGCCCCAAAGTGCCGGATGCGGGTTTAGTGGCGTGGGTGGCCCGGTAGGTCGGCTAGCCATGATTTACGGACCACCAAGCGGGTTCGGCGAAGCCGCGTGGCAGCGAACCGTTCCTCATCACAAACAAAAAAAAGCTTCTGATGGTTGAGCTTTTAGGCTTTGTTTGGGACGACTTTCTTATTGCTTCTTAAAACAGCTTTCTAGTATAAAAAAATTAATTTTTGTACTAAAAAGTTGCTTTATGAAGCAATGAAAAAGCCGTCCCAAGCAAAGCCGTAATCTCGGACAATAACAGGCTGGTTACCTAGTCTCGCTCATCTTTGCTTCCATACAAGCCAACTTAACTTACCACGATTGCTCAACTGTTCACATTGGGATGCTCTGTCGGTTATGACATTATTACATACTTTATATTAATAATAAAATTCAAATGATGCTTGTGATACAAGTGGATCTTAATGAGAGATGCTCCTTTTCGGTTATACAAAATAATAGCTCAGTAACTTGCATAACATCATCCGTTGACATATCTTTATTTTTTAAGATGGTGATAGAAGCATAGTACATAAATATCTAAATAGTCGTCATCTTAAACATGCTTAGTAAGGATTTATTATTTCCTTTTATTTTTGTGTGTATTGATCATAAAAGTTATATGATCTTTGGGTGTCTATAGTGTTAACAAACTCAAATGAAATAATCAAGTAGTTGATTATTGCTGCTCTACTGCTCTGCTGTGGTTGCCACGAATTTTTATTGCCTCAGGTTACCTGACGTAGAGATACATCAGGTAGCCTATAATATATCGGCATGTGCTCTTACTCTTTACCGCGCGGCCCGACGACCCAACCTGAAACGAATATGCGCAGTATTTGCTCGGTATTGCTAGGTACTACTCGGTATTTGCTCGGTATTGCTCGGTACTTGCTCGGTATTGCTCGGTATTTGCCCGCCTGGACGCTCGGTACGAGGAGGCGCGATCCGATGCCGACGCTCGCATCCGGGAAGTGAAAATTTTCCAGCTTGCGGCAGACGGAGGAAAGTCCTGCTCTTCGCCTGACGACAACTGATTCGTCTCCCTAACCGTTAATCTCCCCAATGGCACCACCGTCTTCCGCCGCGCAATCGTCACCCATGGCCACGTGCACTTTAGCTACGCAGAGGAGGTGCTTAGGAATACTATCGTCGACGTTTCCGGTGGCGTTGGCGGCGCAAACCGCTGTGCCGGGATAGTCTCCAACCGATTCCATTCTAAGGCTCGCAATCTGGAGAGCCGGAATCCATGGATGGTAAATCTTTCCTGCCAACTCGAAGCTTTCCGCAGCCTGCTCAATGACTTTGTCCGCGACCTTCCACTCTTCCACAATGTCACCACTAGAACGTCAAAAATCGCTTCTTTCTTCAACGACATTTCGCCTGCGAGAAATGTCGAGCAATACCGAGCAAATACCGAGCAATACCGAGCAAATACCGAGTAGTACCTAGCAATACCGAGCAAATACCGCGCATATTCGTTTCGGGTTGGGTCGTCAGGCCGCGCGGTAAAGAGTAAGAGCACGTGGCGATATATTATAGGATACCTGATGTATCTCTACGTCAGATAACCTGAGGCAATAAAAATTCTGGTTGCCACTATCTCTGACACCAAAGTGGCAACATTTGGGCTGATAAAATCTCCACCGTTCAACTCTAACTAACTGCTATGTTACGTTAACTTATATATATTATACTCTTTGTAATTGAATGATAGTGTGGAGAAGAGGAATATCGAAAACTTTACAGATATATCTTTTCTATTCTTTCTCTATTCTATACTTCATCTAAAATGTTCTTAGCAGATTGTAGCAACTGAAACATATAGCAATCCACTATTAATCAACCAATGTTATAAGTTAAATTGGGTTAACTAACAAAACTCGGTCTTCTCCTTCTCATGTGCAGCTTCTTTACATAGTCTCTCAATAAAATTGCAAAAATATCAAAATAAGTTGATAAATTAAATAATTAAATGAAGAGGGACAAAATTACAAAATTAGAATTTCTAGGAAAATTTTGGGAGGATAGGCAAGAGGAGGAGGAGGAGGAGAGAGGTTTATGTGGTGGAAATCAAATAAACTTATCATAAAATCAATCAAAATAATTCTCAACCTTATTTTAAATGGCCTATCATCTTTCACCAAGCAAAATAAGAAAGCTTTATATTTCTATAGGATTATATCATTATTTATATGTTCTAAGCTTTGAGCTAATATACTTTATGCATTAGCTTAATTGATAATTTGTCTATTAGGATTGTTTATCATGCAAGACTAAAATAAGCCTTCATATAACCATGTTGAGATTATTTTAAAGCACGGATGAAATTCAAATTTCATCTTAAGTTTTATCCCTGTTCTTTTATTAAAAATTTCTCATGATCACTTCATAGCATTTTGGGCATAGCTCAATCAAGTTTATCTGAATTAAATAACTTAAAGCTTTAATTTTTTAAACTCAATATCCCACTAGTCTCATGTTCATAGCATAAACTAATTCAACCTCCATGAACCCTAAATTCTTGCACAATCATATGGACTCTTCCTAACAAAGCTTTCCTTGGAAATCTTGCATTCTTGATCCTATAGTTTGCATGCTTTGTTCTTAATCTTGTGGTTTGCATACATGCACTATAATGTCATCAAGCATATTTTCATGTTTGTTCTCCAAATCTCATACCCCTTTATTTCATATCAAATTATTTGGTGCATCGCAAACTTTTATGGTGCATTGTCATTGCTACAATAACTCTTTGTCAAAGAAGATGGTTTCCTAATTTTATGATGAGCCAAATAGGCATTCCCATCACATAATTGTTTAATGACATTACAAAATAAATCTCAACTTATTTTTACATATTTTAGTTTAAGGAGAATATAGCATGAATTAACAATAAATGAATTTGTTAGCACATAACTTTTATCTGATCATATATTATATTTGAAGCAATATATAATCAATAAATGACATTACATACAAGATAATGACATAAAAGGAGACTCAAATACACTACTTAGCTTTGGACTGATGTCACACCACATAAAAAAATGCGAGGATCATGAAAAAAATTAAATTTTTAAGGAAAGATCATACATAAGAAAATTTATGTGGCATTTTTAAATAAAAAAATTTTTCTCTATATGTTGTCATTAATAATGATTGGTCGCACTTCTTAAATAATATAAAAGGTGCCACTAAAATATAAATTTATAGCCTAGGAAGGAAGCCCAGATTTTTAATTGAGGGTAGAATACATAGGTATTTATCAGGGGTGTCAATTCGGGTCAACGGGTTGGGTTCGGGTCAAACCCGGAATTGACCCGACACTATTCGGGTCAACTCGAACCCGACCCGTTTTTAAAATTGGGTCAGGTTTTCGGACCCGAACTGGACCCAATTCGGGTTCAGGTCAACCCGACAAGACACAAATGACCCGGGGTTGACCCATAATTGCTAGTTTTCATGTCAATCTTTGATTTTTGGGTCAAAAACGGGTCAATCTCAGGTTTTCGGGTCAAATACGAGTTTTCGTGTCAATTTCGGGTCAATTGCTAGGTCAACCCGAACCCGACCCAATTTTTAAAATGGGTTGATTTGTTGAACCCGAACCCGACCCGTTTCGGGTCCGGGTTAACACTAACCCGGATTTTTTCTGGTCGGATTCAGATCGTGTCAAAAATTGACACCCCTAGTATTCATGTCGATGGTGATTAAAAGAAGTTGTCATTTTCCTCAAAAGAAATGAGTGATTGATATAAATGGTGGAGGACATGATTACGGAATGAAGAATTTTCTTCTCTTATATTGAAGGAGAATTGGATTATAGATTGGTGTTGAATGACAAAAAGTTAGTTGAATTTGATTTGTTATGGGGAGAAAACTTGTTCAATCAATTAGCAATGAAAATTCATCGACGAAGACATCATAGAGGGTTTAAAAAAAAAACAGTCAATACGGCTTGCCTAAAAAGTGGAATAACCCATGTTCAACCTTATTTCTCAAAAATATTCACCTACTTAGTAACAACTTAGTCATTTATTATATGATGAATCTCACATCATACATAAATATACAAAGCATTACTAATATAAATTTCTAGTTATGCTCAGGTATGTCTCTTGAGAAAAGTCATGCCAATAGGCATAATCTTCAATATCAAAGATGATCCTAAATAATGATAAGTTTGAAGAGATCGATTCTCCAAAAAAAAAAAAGTCAAGTTAATACTCTAAATCACTCTAAAGCCCCTAGTTAAAGCAAGTTAAGGGTGTAGTTTTGTTGTTGAAGAGTCTTAGATGAACATAATAAATATAGGAGCCTAGAGTGGGCATGGCTAATTCCCTACTGAATCCTAAACCCTTTGGATATATATTGTACAAGTTTGAAGTGAATTATCCTTCACTCCTTTAGCACCTCTTCACACAACCTAGCCCTTAAATCTCGTATGCAAGACTTGAAGATGGGTTCTCCCATCTTCTTGATCTTAAAATTTTTTTATTATCATAGAAATCATTAATTAATCCCTTCAATCTCATGCCCATAATATCATTTAAAAATACTTATCTAAAAATACTAAAATTTGCTTAAATTATTTTATCTGATTCAACCACACCTTTGAAATCTTCGTATATACAGTAAAAATTGAAGAAATCTCACATTGAAAGCCTAAGGGAATCAATAATGACTATTAAAGAAAATATTACATTAATAGTGTGTTGAGAGTGATATATATATAAGAACATTTTCATTCAAAAATGACATAAATGAATATTTGAATAAAAATATATAAATGGATACTATACCAAATATATATAAAAGGATATTTTCATTCAAAAATGACATAAATGAATATTTGACTAAAAATATATAAATAGATATTATACCATATATATATATTAAAAGGCATAAAAAGTAAAAATTTCCAAATAATATTAGTGCTATTGTATGTGCATATAAATGTGTTTGAATTTTACCACACATATTTACTAATTAATCTTTCAATACCCATTCTTAGAGATGGTCAAATAAAGAAGTCCTTCCCATTCCACGAAAATCAATTAGAAATGGGACGAATGGGTCGTAGGGCGGTGAGTGGGAGTTTTGAATTGAATAAAAGGAACAATTTCTGGAACAACTGCAGTCAAGTGCTTTAGTAGGCTTTATTATTAGGGTTTCAACTTTCAATAGTCTTCGGCTTGTGGGAGTGAAGCTCAGAGGAAGAGGGAGAGGGAGAATGAGTGCTTTGGAGAATGAAATGGAGGGATTGACTTTGGATGCTTCTGTGAGAAACCCAAGATGCTTCATGGACATCAGCATTGGCGGAGAGTTGGAAGGTAGGATCGTGATAGAGCTCTTCGCTGATGTGGTGCCGAAGACGGCGGAGAACTTCCGTCTACTCTGCACTGGTGAGAGGGGTATTGGCCCCAATACCGGCGTTCCTCTCCACTTCAAGGTTCGGTGTTTTCAGACCCTTTATTATTAACTGTCTTTGAGTTTGCGATAAGAAATAGTCTCTTGGTTTAGTTTGTTTAGCCCTTATAAGATAGAGATGCTTGGATTATGAATCTTTGGCGTCGTCTTGAAATCTTGGCGATTGTCTGGTTTTGTTCATTCTTTATAGCGTATTTTTATTATCTATTGCTGTTTGTCTGATGCCCCCGGATATGTTATGAAACCCTCTTTTGTTTTATGTGGTAACAATAGTGGATTGCTTATGGACGCTGTGAAGTATTGAAATTATAAAGGGGCTTTGAATTCTTTTCTATGAATGTGAGGTTTATTGTTGCGAGATTAGTCGGGAGTAAGTTTCTTTTACATGTCCTGGTACATAGTTGCTCTTGTTTAAGTTCTGAGTGCATATATGAATGTTTAGCCACTAATGCGCAGCAGTTGGTTTCATGTTTTTTTTTCCATATTTTTTATACAGTGTTAGGCTTTACCCCGTGCAAGTTGTTAAACTGGTTTCCTACTACATGTACTGACACCTAAAATCCGTAGTTATACTTTTTTTTTTTCTTGTTTTCTCTTTGCATTTTAATTTCACTTATGATTGTGTTAATTTGTTATATTTTTATCTCCAGGGTTCACGTTTTCATCGTGTGATAAAAGGTTTTATGGTTCAAGGTGGAGATATTTCTGCTGGTGATGGAACTGGAGGAGAATCAATCTATGGTTTGAAATTTGAGGATGAAAACTTTGAGTTAAAACATCATAAGAAAGGCATGCTGTCAATGGCAAATTCTGGGCCAAATACAAATGGGTCACAATTCTTCATTACTACTACACGAACGCCTCATCTTGATGGAAAACATGTTGTATTTGGAAAGGTATTGAAAGGTATGGGAGTAGTTCGCTCAGTTGAGCATACCCCTGTTGGAGATGGTGATTGTCCAATTGCCGATGTCATAATTTCCGACTGCGGAGAACTTGCTGAAGGTGTTGATGATGGAGCTATAAATTTCTTCAAAGATGGAGACATTTATCCAGATTGGCCTGCTGATCTTGATGAGAAACATGATGAGGTTTCATGGTGGATAAATGCTGTGGATGCTGCCAAATCCCTTGGGAATGAGTACTACAAGGTTACTTGTTTGATCTCTTTTTTAATGTTTTGATTTTACTGATTAACTAGTTTGCTTTAATGGAAGATCGATTTCTTTCTTTGATAATGTTTTCATTGCAGATAATGCTTGACGTGCTTTTTGAGATATTTGATTGCTTCTTATATCAATTATTTCATGGCAGAAAATACTTTTGCTCATATCTGTTTGTGCTTGCAGTTTTTCTGATGCCTTATTACTGATCTTGTTCTCCTAAATTGCCCATTTTATGCAGAAAGAAGATTATAAGATGGCTGTTAGAAAATATCGCAAGGCATTGCGCTACTTGGATGTCTGTTGGGAGAAGGAGGAAATCGATGAAGGCAGGATGTTGGATTTTTTTTTAACCACGGAATTTTTAAATTATTCTTCTAACATTTCTGTTTTCTATTTTTTAAAATTTTTTATTTTTATTTTTTGATGATTTCCAGAAAAAAGTTTGTTATTGCGGAAGACAAAATCAGTGATACTCACTAATAGTTCAGTAAGATTTTTTTCTGCAATCTTTGAACAAAGTACTGTGATCCAATTGTATTAGCATTTAATTGCAATGTAACCATTTTTGAAAATCTGAATTTGATGATAGATGGGAATATTTAATTGTGATGCTAGTACACGAATGATCTATTACTATTTTCCTTGGAAGTTTTCACAACCATATCATCTCAAACTTTTTGTGCTGTTGTTTCACTTTTCGATTTATCAAAAAGTCCCAAATGTGATTCACTAAATTGGAATTATTCAGAATAGATTAGTTGGCAGGTATACTGAATTTATTATGATTATTAACCACTGTAGTTGATGCCTCGTGTTTGGGCAAATCTGTAAAATCTGCAAAATTTTGCTCAGGAAAACACTGCTTGTTAGCTTGTCCATTCTATCTTTAGTTTCCTTTGAAAACTAATAAGTAGTTGAATGCTTTTTGACATAAAAGCTTTGATGTAATATTGTAATCTGCTTTTAACTGGTTGCGCAGCATGGAGAATTGCTTACGTTGTGCACCTTCGTAAGCAGCAATGATAGTTTTATCTTTTGGTAGAATTGATTGGTATGGGTTATTGTTACTTATACTAATTATGTATTTAATGAAACTTTTGAATTGATTCTTTCAGTACTAGCACTTCCCTTGTACTTTGGATGTTATTTTGTGTGGTAAATTAGCTTCAAGTTTTTTTTTGCTTAGTGCATGGGCAATGAAAATAAAGAATGCAAATTTTAGAGTGTTCTTTTTCGAGTAGCAGCTGCACCTATTGTGATTAAATTTGAAATTTGATTAATTTATCCATATTCTCTTCTCAGACTATTAATGAATTGGCAATTTGTTTTTAATTATTTATCATATTCATTCATATACTTTTTAGCTGCTACACAACCTTCAAGCCTTGATTTCTTCTGATATTGTCAGCATTTCAGATTTTGTTGGCATATTAGTTCTTTTCTTGCTGAAGGATGTCTATGTCACTTCATCATCTTTATGATTTTTTTAATATAATCTTTAATTGTAGGCCTGCAAGGTCAAATTGGGAGACTTGAAGGGAGCTTTGTTAGATGCTGACTTTGCCATTCGTGAAAGAGAAGGCAATGCCAAAGCGTATTTTAGGCAAGGTCAGGTTAGTATCCATGATCAATTATATTCTTTGCATTTCCGGAAATTCAGTGACGTTTTTCCTTATCATTTGATATTCTATGAATTCCCTAATGGTTCTCCCATTGATATTTAGCTGGAATTTGTTAATCTTGTAGGCACATTTTTCTAATGGATGAGTCTTTCTTAAATTTCCTACTTCAATGCAATGTCAATTAAATTATCTCTGCTGCTTTCTGTATGTTAGCGTGCCTGGGGAGCCATGATATTACCACGCATGGCAATACAATTTGACTCATACAAATAAATGAACTGGGAAAACGAATAGAAAAATGCTAAACAAATAATAAAAAAAATTGAAAAGATTTATTCGAGAAGAGAGATCACAAATTTCTTCTTTGCACCTCAAGCTGTAATAATAACAAATTATCTCTCTTGCCGTCGTATAGACTTTACTCCATATTTCTTCCTTCTGTCATTTCTATTAGAAGCCAAATTTTTGTGCTGTTTTCTTTTTACAGTGAGCTGTGCCTTTCCATCTCTAGCATGATGCGTTAAAGAATACCATGGTAATACATCTTGGTTACTACTGTTCTTTGCTAAAGCACTTAGAATCCAAACTTCGGTAACTATTTGTATTATAAGTATGTTTTTTGTGTAGATTACCAATGTATACCAGTATTCACCCTATTAAAAAAAGCACTTGATACTATGATTGTGATGTTGAACATAATTGGCCCAAAATATGTGATTTTATGTTTGGATATTAGTTTTTGTAAAAAGTAAAATATCTTGATTGGCAGTACCTTTATACCAAATTTGACAGACTTGATATTGGAAAATGTGAACACCTACTTATGTGTTCTTAGAGGTAGAAATTCAATGCTATTATTTTGGGCAAACCATTTCCAGTGTTACAATGTCATAGACATATTTTTTAGCCTAATTTGTGATTCACCATATGGCTTTAAACTCTCCTTCACCAGCTGGTCAGATTATGCATGGCTGTTGTCCTTAGGAATTGCATAACTTTGATGACATGTAAAATCAAGAAATAAAAACAATTATAAGTTAAATTGAACAAATCATGCGTATTGTAGATGATAAATCAATGAACAAATTGATATAATAATTCTTGAGATGCTTACATTTGATATTATTTCTTCGATGAATTATTAGATTACAATAAATTTTATTTGTGGCTTTTGATTTCTTGTAATATGAATCTAATGGTTATAGTCTGACATCATAAAAACTATTGGGAGTTCTTTGCCTCATTCTCTAAATATTTATTTATTTTTTATTATTTATTTTCCTTATGTGATGGTTGTATTGAGGATATTTTGTATTTCGGATTATTAATGTGTCATGGGTCTTTTTAATAATTGGGTGGATAAATTATCACGTTTTTAGATTTTCCCATGTATTTTTCTCCTCTGGGGCTAGCCACCTCTTATTTTTTATTCAAATTAGTTAATTATTGCTTGCTTATGATTTTTAATGTCCTCATCATTGCAAATACCTATATTTTAAAAAGGCTTTAGACCCCTTCCCTGTCTTAACGCTCTTTTTTTTTTTCTTTTCTTCTCTCTTTCTTTGAAATGAATCACCACTTTATGATCTTGTTCTTTCCACAATCTTCCATTCTATTTATTTTCTACTTTTTGGATATTAAATATCGTGAAGTCCAAAGGTCTTTTGGAGTCTATAAAAGGGAACTTGTTATATAATTTGAGGGTTAGCATTGGAATATGAAAATTCTATGATTTTCTAGCTGCTTTCTACCCTTAATGTATAGGGTTCTTATGTACATGATTTGAAGGTCTATTGATATTCAATTGTAGTTTTGAGCCTAGTGGTATTCTCTAGAATCTGCTACCAAACTACATGCTTACTCAAGTATAAAACAGTCGAAACTTTGGGTTATTAACTTAGGAGCATCAGATCATATGACAGGAGACATTACTGTCCATGAATATCAAAATTATCATTCAAATCGAGTAGTTAAGGTTACTGATGGCTCAACATCCAAAGATTTTGAAATTGGTTCCGCTTTTGTCATAGTAGCTATCACCCTTAAATCAGTGCTTTATGTGCCCAATATTGAGCGTAATTTGATTTCCATTAGTAAATTGACTCGTGACAATAATTGTTTAACAATTTTCTCCAATAATGTATGTAATTTTCAGGAAGTGGATTCGGGGAAGAAGATTGACAGTACTGAGATGTGTTCTAGGTTATACTACATCAAGACGCCCAAATCATTAATTGTTGCTAAGAATCATCCTATTGTGAGTCAGTTTTTTGAGAGTCATTCTAGAGTAGGTCAAGATATAGAGATTACTATGTGGCATTATATGTTAGGTCATCCAAATTTCATGTATCTTGAAAAGCTTTTTCCTCATTTATTTATTAATAAAAATTCAAATTTGTTCAAATGTGAAATTTGCCAATTGGCTAAACATACAAAATCATCTTATCCAATTGTTCCTTACCCCTTTTGAACCCTTTGTTTTGATCCATAGTGCTATTTGAGGACCCTCAAATGTTACAAATATTAATGGTGCAAGGTGGTTTGTGATATTTGTTGATGATCATACTAGACTCACTTGGGTTTATTTAATGATGGAAAAATTTGAAGTTGAAAGGATATTCAAATCATTTCAACCGATGATTCAAATTCCATTAATTCAAATCTTAAAGTCAGACAGTGGGAGAGATTACTTTCATTCTATTATGAGAGAATATCTATCAAGCTAAGGGATAATCCAAGTGAGTTCATGTGTGGATACACCTCAACAAAATGGAATAGTTGAAAGGAAAAATAGGCAACTCCTGGATGTTGCCTGACCTATTATACTATTTACAAAAGTATCAAAATATCTATGGGGGAAGTCATTCTTACTGCTACATATCTAATAAATAGGTTACCTACTCGGGTACTAAAATTTGGAACACCTGGCAAACTCTATTCAAAGCCTATTCTCAGGCTCGATTCATATCATCAAATCTTCCACCTAAAGTTGTTTGGGTGCTCTTCCTCTGTTCATTTCAATTCACAAGATAGGAGCAAGTTAGACCCAAGATAAAAAATGCGTCTTTATTGCCTATTCGCCAACAAAAAGAGGCTATAAATGCTTTTTCCCTACTTCTAGGAAGGTATTTGAAACTATGGATGTCACCTTTTTTAAAAACAACCCATACTTCACTAGTTTTGAAATTCAGGGGGAGAATGAAGGAGAATTTCAAACTCGGGAGTGAAATTCCTTATTATACAACCAGTGTCTAGTCAAAATCAACAAATATCACAAGAAATCTAAACCACGAGTATTTTCCAAGGTATATCTCCTAGGTTTCAACCTCCACCTTCAAACCTATAGCCTCCACCAATAAGTCCTAATCAATCCCTGCAAAGAGCAACTATTAAGGAACAACCATATGTATACTCAAGGAAAAGAAAAAAAAATCAGCATATGCAGAGCAGTGAGCACATCTTGCACATGTCAAATCTCCTTCAATGGATCCAGCAACTGTAGAGATTCATATAGAGGAGAAAAATGAGGAAATTCAAAAGGAGATAAGTCATAAAATGACTAGAAAGAATCATGCACCAAGCATCCAATTGAAAATTCTCTCTCTTATAGTAGATTATCAGACACTTATCAAGTCTTTCTTTCCAAGTTGGATGATGTGCAGATTCTAACCAATATTCATGAAGCTTTGAATCACCCAAAGATGGAGACAGGCTATTAAAGTAGAAATTATGGCCTTGCAGAAAAATTAAACATGGGTAATTGCAAATTTCTCACTAGGAAAGAAAGTTGTAACCTACAAATGTGTGTTCATTGTAAAGCATAAAGAGGATGGTAGTGTTGAGAGGCTGAAAGCTAGATTGGTTGCAAGAGGATTCACTCAGTTTTATGGAATAGATTTTCAGAAATTTTTTGCTCCTATTTCAAAGCTCAACACCGTCAAGATTCTTCTTTCCTTAGCAACAAATTTAGATTGACTCCCAAATCAACTAGATATTAAGAATGCATTGTTGAGTAAAAGAAGAAGTCTACATGGAGATTCCAAAGGGGATTCAAAAGTCTTATGGAAGGGGCAAAGTGTGTAAATTGTTGAAATCCTTGTATGGATTAAAGCAGTCTCCTAGAGCATAGTTTGGAAGATTCTCAAAGTATGTAAAAGGCCATGGTTTTAGACAATGCCAGACAGATCATGCCTTATTTGTGAAGCAACCAGAAAGAAACATGGTAACAATATTGATTATATACGTGAATGACATCATCCTTATTGGAAATCTCCATGTAGACTTCTTCTTTTACTCAACAAGAAAAGGAGGGGGTTTCTATCCAAGAAGTTTGAAGTTAAAGATCTATGATCACTTAGATACTTCCTTGGTATGGAGGTAGCTCGATCAAGCAAAGGCATATTTGTTTCCCAATGCAAGTATACCTTAGACCTACTTAAGCAGATTGGCCTATTGGGATGCAGACCAGCCAGTATGCCTATGGATCCTAAGAAGAAACTTGGGATAGAAAAGGAGGGGTTTCTATTAGATAAAGGAAGATATCAACGTCTAATTGAAAAGCTTATATACCTCTCTCTAGTCTCTCCCAAACCGGTCCAGATATTGGGTTTGCTATGAGCATGGTGATCCAATATATGAGTAATCCTATGAAGGTTCACATTGAGGCATCATATCAAATATTGAGATATCTCAAGAACACTCAACGAAATGGGCTATTATTCAAGAAAAATGAAGATATGAAATTGATCATATATTCTGATGCATATTGGGCAGGAAGCCAGGTTGACACTTGAATGACCATAGGATATTGTTCATTTGTGTGGGGAAATCTAGTGACATGGAGGAGCAAGAAACAACATGTTGTTTCTAAAAGCAGTGCGGAATATGAACTGAGAGCATTAGAAGTTATTATTTGTAAAGCTAGTTATTTGGATCAAATGAGTATTGATTTATTTGAGAATAAAGATTGAATGCACAATAAAGTTGAAATGTGACAATCAAGCCGCAATCAGCATGACCAAGGATCCAGTACATAACGACATAACAAAATATGTTACCATTGATAGACACTTTATATTTGTGAAAATAAAGAACTCAGAAATTGAAGTGTATATACCCCAACTAATGAACAATTTGCCGATGTTCTAACAAAGGCACTATCAGGCTCTCTACTTGATAAGTTTGTTTGCAAGTTAGGATTGTACAACCTATACAACCCAACTTGAGAGAGAGTATTGAATCTCACGATAAGGAGGGGACCCACGGCTTTGATGGCTTAACAATCCGTAGCTGCAATCGTGGGCTGCAGTTGGAGATTTCTTCTTCTGACACCATGATTCGTGAGATTGATTACAAGATCTATGGGATATAATTATTAGAATCAATTAGATGAAATGACTTTCATCTTCTGTTTATTATAATTAATTAGATTAAATGTCTTTATTTTTCTGCTTATTCTCCTTGAGTGTATATATATATGTAATGATCCCAAGGAATAAAATTCAAATTGAATTTCCCCTAAACAATTTCTTCACTTGTGAATTGAAAATTTTGGGGCATTTTGATGTCAATCTTGTCTTCAATTTATCTAATATAACTGAATTTGCAAACCTATTATCAAGTCCTTTGATTCTTCTTTTCTTCCATCTCTTTGCGTATTCACATTCAACACTTCGCGAGATTGTTCTACGCATTTGTTCCAAAAGAAATGCTAAATGATGAGATTGTATGTCTGCTGAAGATGGATACCAATAGTATCTTGTGCAATGGTGTGATATCTTTAGTTATGATGATGGTTTATGGCTTAATTTATTAGAAACACAATAGTTATACCCAAATTTGATTGATGAGTATTAAATTCTCAATTGTGGAAGTTGAATTTTTAAAGCAGAGCAATATATGATGAAAATCTTAAAACTTATAGTTGAAAATACAAACCATATGTGTTAAGATGAGCAAATTGATGATCAAAATGGTGTTTTTACTTTGTTTTCTATTAAGTAATTTTCATAGTTCATGAAAATCCTTATGCTGATTTCTATAGAGAATGTTTTGTTCTTTTCCCTGATTTGGTTCTCAAGTTGCTGCTTTCTGATTTGTGTAGCATTGATTTTTGTTGGGATTGCTTATGTGGTTTTCAGTTGGGTTGATAAATTGCTAATTAGGCTTTAACTGAATATGGCTGTTGGTTATGTATTGAGCTTGATTTGGTTCATTTTATTTTTTGGGATGAATCTCTTTTTGGTTTTAATTTGCTTTTTTTTGTTAGCTTTTGATGGACCTTACTATAGCTCTTTGGTAATTGGGTTGATAGGGTTGGGCTGTAATTTGTGCTGCTGTTGGTTCCCTGGCTATTTGATTTAGCAGTTGACTAACGTTTTTTTTTTTGCGGCAGCATTGTTCTTAACTGCTGATTCGTCGGTTGGTGTGACTTGGAATTACTATTGCTTTGGCCTTCTATTCTGCCGTAATTTGAGTTTTTTGGGCATGCTTTTAGTGTTAGAAAATTTTTGAATTCCTTCACTGTCGAAAATTGCAATTTCTGTATTGTAGCTTTGAGGCATGAATTGTTGGCTTTTGGATTCAATGAAATTTTCGGTCCTATTGTGATAAAAATTATGCTTGCATTCAAATAATTTGTTTCAATTTTGAGAGGAATTTTTATGATTATAAAAAGAAACTTATATGATTATAATGGTGGATACCTGAAGCATGTAAAGGATATTCTTAATAATCATCCCGAGTTATTTTTGTTTTCCATCTTAAATTAAATGAGCGATTGGATGTGATTCTTTATTGCTAAGTGGAAGTGGTTACCATTAAGTCTTGAGGGAAGTTATCTCTGGTACTGGCGAATGGCTCTGATTAACATTCTAGTGATTTTATTCATAGAATCTTTTTTTTATTTATGTGAGATTTCAGTAATTTTCTCTTTTGTGTGATGAAAATTGTCAGAATTTGTAGAAACAGGACTTTATGATTTGATGTATTTTTTCATTGATGGGTGATCTTCCTTGGTTAAAAGAGAAGCATAGTATTAAGTAAGTATTGCATAGATGAAGATGCTCAGGTGGATGAGTGGCTTTACTCTTAGAGACATGATACCTAATGAAAATATACGTGAAGAGGTTGGAGTAGCTCCAATGGAATATAAGAAATAGAGATAGTCACCTTAGATGGTTTGGTCACATAAATCGGTGGCCTTCCGATGACCCGGTTAGGAGAGTAGATGTATTAGATTTAGCTTATGTTAAGAAATGTATAGGTAGACCTATAAGGACTTGGTTGGAAAATATATAAATGAACTTTCTTTATTAAATTTAAATGAGAATTTGATTATCTTAACAAGATACGATGGAAAAAAAAAGGATTCATGTAGCTGATGCCACATAGTGGGATAAAGGTTTGATGATGTTGTTATTATTAGGTGATTTTCATAAATGTCTATTTGTACTATTATTAAATTATCACCTGGCTTAATTTTGCATTTTTTTATGCTTTCATCAAAAGAAAATTTTTTCTTGATGGTTATGAACTAAGAATGTCTTTGTGTGCATGATTTTTTGTGCATTTCATTCTATATTTATTTTTAAAGAACTCTAGATACTAAAAAGTCTTCTATCGAAGAACCTGTGGTCCTAGTATTTCGCTGGATGTCAATATCTCTTGAACTTGAGAGCAAAACTAGATGGTAGAGTGGATGGAGGGTGCTAGTTGAATCAAATTGAAGGGAATTACTGATGTATGTTGTTAAATTGATAGATTATTTTTGTGAGATTTGTTATCAATTTTCCTTAAAGCACAATTATATATAATTAAATTTATAGATTGTTTTGCAATATTTATTTGCTTTCCTTTGAAACACGAATATTTCAGCTATTTGTCTTTTTAATGCCTCTAAAATCTCGTAGGCACACATTGCCTTGAATGACATTGATGCTGCCGTAGAAAGCTTCAAGAAGGCTTTGGAACTTGAGCCAAATGATGGTTAGTGTTACTTCTGTGCTTTAAGAAATCCCTCGTTTTTCAAGTGAGCTGTTGTATTTATTTGAAGGACATTCCTCTGTGTACTTCATGAAATCTCTCAAAAGTGAGCCGTTCTTTCTTTTTAGTAGAGTGAATTCTAACTCGGGATGAGGGGTTCTCAACCGTGCTCGCCCACCAACGGGGACGTTTCTTATTGCAATTTAAAAGTAAGCCGTTTAACCCACGGCTTAGGGTGGTTGGTGGTCGAGCATGGTTGGGAACCCCTCACCCCGGATTCGAATCCTCTCTACTATGGCCTCGCCTCTTTAGTAGGGCAAAGCAAGTGTGAGCCCGGTGCCGGTGGTTGGCCTCTTTATGTTCCACTGAGGCATTAGTTACGCCACGAAATACTCCCTTTGGAATGTCAGCGGGTAGATACCCCCGTTCCGGAAAAAAATAAGTTAGCCGTTTTTTTATAATTCATTTTTCTTTCAGGAGGTATAAAGAAAGAGCTAGCTGCTGCAAAGAAAAAGGTATTGTTAAGCTTTAACTGGTGGTCGGGAACTGTTAAAGTATTCTGTTTCCTATTTAGCCTTCTATAACTCTTTACAGATTGCTGATAGGAGGGATCAAGAGCGAAGGGCCTTCGCAAGGATGTTTCCAAGTTCTGCCAAGTCCGACCCCACTATTGAGGTTAGCTTTTCTTGCTTGTAAATTTCAATCAAGTTTATTGTTAATAAAAATAGAGAAATCAATTTTCTCTTAAGAAAAAAAGTTTATTGTTAAAAAAATTTCATCAAGTACCCTATCAATGAAAAAAATATTACGTACGGTGTTCGGACGCGTCTGGAGGCTAATCTGGATGCGCCATATCATCAAATGCACAGTGCATTGAATGATGTGGTGCATTCGGATTAGCCTTGAGATGAACACTGCACAGAATAATCTCTCTTATAAATGAAAGCTTCAAAGAAAAAGCTTTTTTCTTCTGAGTGTTTTTCTTACTTTTTTTCTTTTTTCTTTTTGTAGGACAAAAATCAATGAAAAGAGTTCATTTTGAAACTGTCGGAAGCTCTTTAAGATGAAAGAAGTGCTATACAAAAGTTCAAGTCAATTTAGTTTGGTTATGGAATTTCCTTAATTTTCTCATTTTGATTTTTCTGGCAGATTTCTCGTCCTGAGCGTCGATCTTTTTGTTTTGGTCCCCCTCATTTGTGCTGTTTTTAGAGGAACGATTGCAGGTGCATTTTACTGCATGTGCATGTTTTATATTTGAGAGCTTTCTTTTTATACGGGCTGCTTTCTAAACATTTAGTCCTTATCTGAAACTCAAACAATTTGAACGTTATTCATAATTAAAGTTGGGGTTTTGAGTAGCTTAGCATTTTGTAGCTTGTTCTGGGTAACTGTATTTCCATTATCTTTTTTGATAGGAAACTCTTGAAGATCTCAAGAATTTTCTAACAATATTTGAAAAATAGTGAGAATTCTCCATGAAAAACTAAAAAAACAGTTGATAATTTATATTATTTGATGAAATAGAAATTGGAAAATATCAAGATACAATTGATCCTCTATTCGAGAGGAGGATCTATCTCTCACTAATCTCTAGACGCCTTAGAGTCTAAAAACCTAAACCTAAAAGTTCAAGATACCCTAATCCTAAGAAAATAAATATCTAATGAATATAATTCAAAAGGAAATCTTTAAACAATCCCTACATTTAAAATTTCCCTCAAACTTCCGCAAAAATCTTTACTAGAATCAAGAACTTCCGCCTATTTCATCCGTAAGCCGGTCCGGTCTAGCAATTTTCTTGCCCCCTCAATTTGTCTCATGTAATATGAATCTGCTTAATATGAATCTGCTTGATGTTGGTCATGGAATTTCAGTTACATTTCTATTCTTTTGTCAAACTTTTCAGACCATTTTATTGATAGCGATGAAAACTTTGTATACTCATTACAGTAAGGAAATAATTTTGTATAATCATATTGAATGACCTTATTTGATAAATTTTTTACTGCTTTATTTTGGAATAATGACATCATAATTTTAATTTATGCAGAAAACAAAACACTAATGCAACATCAATATAAGAAAAGAAACACAACCATTCATGGTAAATGGAGCTGGGTTTATTAATTACATTAAAAAAAGGTAACAAGTGATAAATTACTTTACATAGGACAGATATGTTAAGTTTATTTATATCCTATATAGCATAAATCTGTATACCATATCACAACATTACAAACACAATCACATAGAAAGATCACAATAAAAAAAGGGTTTATTTTCTTGCCAGAATGGAAGATTGATTGATCAGGACCATGTTGAAGAACCTTTTATAGCAAACTTGCTTCCACCCTCCAAGCTTTCCCTATAAACCAGCGTCCATTTTTCGAAACTGCAATCAGTGAAGTCATAATAGCCTCCATGGAGAGAAAGCACTCCTTCAGTCACTCTCTCCTCAATCCATGGGTATGTCAATAGGTTCAGCAGTGAGCCGTTAATTGATTCCTAAACCAGCAGAAGAAGATTTTCTTTAAAGAATTTCAAATAGATAGACATATCAAGCGCAAGCGATCATATTATTTTTTCAAAATTTTACTGCGCCAATAGCTTTTAAAGGGAAATTGGGACATTCTTGGCAAGGGTCATTTGGGTCGTGTCGGATTGACCGGGACTCAAAGCGGGTCAAGTTCAGGTCTAAAAAAAGGGCATGTTTCAGGTTCGAGTTGACCCAAATAGTACCGGATGAATTTCGGGTTCGACCAGAACCCAACCAGTGACCCAAAATTGACACCCCCTGATCCTTGCTTAGGATAAAGGCAAGCATGCTTACAACGTGTAGCAACATCTTTTTTTTTTTTTTTTTTTAACGTGTAGCAACATCTTGAAGGTTCATATGACAAGTAAATCTAATGAGGTGTAGATCTTGAGTTAGGCACCAAAAGGTGGTCTTCCCGAGAAGAACCGAACTCTCCCTAAGAGGAAGTGTTCCCAAAAGATGAGCTGTAGAGGAAATTCCTGAGAAGTCTGCTAAGAAGAATTGCTAGGTGACTGTAAACTATCTAACACAATTCTACACTTTTCTCATCCAGAGCTTGAGACCTGGCAATGTCGTCTTTCTGGTGACCATGTTAGCATAGTAGATATATTAGATTTGGCTTATGTTAAGAGTAGTAGAGATAGACCTAAAAAGACTTGGTTAGAAAGTATTAGAAAGGACCTTTATTTATTAGATTTAAATGAGAATTACTCTTAATAGGATACAATGAAGAAAAAAGATTCATGTAGCATATCCCACAAAGTGAGATAAAGGCTTGATGTTGTTGTTGTAGAAGGCTAAGATTTCGTTTGGGATGGTTTTCTTACTGCTTCTTAAAATAACTTCTTAGTACAAAAGTTTTAAATTTTTATACCAGAAGCTGCTTTAAGAAACAATTAAAAAATTAATCCCAAACGAAGCCTAAATTTGCTAAGATCAAAGATGCTCGTATTGAGAAGCCTAATGGGAATGATGCTCGAGCAAAAACTAACTTCTACACAACTCTTCATGAATGCTTGTTGGAGGAAGATGAAGCCAAGTATGACAAAGAGTTTGTCATCGAAGACTTGAAAAACACTCGAGGGAGCGCAATCAAACTTTAATGTGGATGGTGCAAAGGCGTTAAGGAGACGATGGAGAAGCAGAAGACATAAGAATTTTGCACATATTCAAAGGCAAAGCCAAGTAAATTATTGCGAGCAAGATGGAGACAATATATTACGATACACCCCTGCCTACCCTTTTTATCAACAAAAGGAGGAAGATCTGAAGGAGGTGCATGCTCTTCAAGGTGAATTATTGATTGCAAACCAATTGGGTGAATAAATGAGAAGATAAAATACAAATTGTAGAGAACGATTTGATTAACACTTACATAAGCAACTACATGAACGAACTGTATGACCTTACAAGGGTATATGTGTGAGCACAAATAGAGGTTGGAGCATATAGAAGGAAAGTTATGGTCTATAGCCCTGAAACAGCTTTGCTCACTAAAGCAAGCTACAAGTGAAATCCATGCAGCTCAACGTCTTTACAATAACATGAGGTCCTGAGAAAAAAATTGTGAATTTTTAAGACTAAATTATTTCCTATAAAGGTTTTGTTTGGGACGATCTTTTTTATTGCTTCTTGAAGCAGCTTTTTAATATAAAAATTAAAAATTTTGTACTAGAAAGTTGCTTCAAGAAACAGTAAAAAAGCCGTCCCAAACGAAGCCAAAATGTGATTAGAAAAAGCACTGCTATTTAAAATTTGAAACTTCTAACAATGAAATAACCACTTGAAGATCTATGTTTGGTCATGATTTGTTTCAGATATCTTGAGATTCTTGGAAAGGAGTTGATGTAACAGGGTTTTAAATGTAAAACTTTAGCATTTCCACCCATCTTTAGGGCTTCATGTCTTGTAAATAGTATAGACTTCGACTACATGTTCTTTACACGAAGTCACAAAACTTTGCTTGCTAAAGATTGTGTGGCTCTTGAAGGTCTACAACAAAACCTTCTCTCGCCAATTTTTCAAGAGATGAAATTGAAGGTGACAGTGCTTGAGCAAGAGGTAATTTTCATCTTAACCAACAACTTCGCCGTGAATAGCTTTCCCATGAGCCTAGTAAACATAGGGACCAGATGTGAAGTACAACACTCCTATCATATACACATTCAGGTTCCCCGCTCATGAAGAGGAGAGATTATTCTGTGCGGGCATCGGACACAGCTTACTGTCCAGAGGCGAATCGGGTGCAGCCACGTCATCCGGTGCCGAGCAGTGCCGAGCTCGGTACCGAGCCGCGGTACCGAGTAGGGGGTGACGTGGCGCATTTTCATTGGGCTCGGGACGGCGTTCGGCGTCCGCACAGAATACTTCATCCATGAAGAGAGTCTGAACTTGAGATATGGGACTAAGGAGGCTAGCAGCTAGGAAATTACTTTGAGATGGAGCTAGAGCAACCTTTTAAAGATGTAAACGACACCCTCATAACATTTTTTATTGTGCTAGTGTAACTTGAACCCAACGTGCATGCCAACTGAACAGTGCGACATGGCTCTTTGAAAAGTACAATATATTGTGGTTAACATAATAGTTTGCCTATAGCATTTGGGTATGGCGCTTTGAGGGTATCTGTTACTTCTCGACCAGGTTCTCCCACCCTTGAGCTGTAGCTATATTATTATATATGCCATATTAATGGGCTAATGGGCATGACATTCCCAATCGTACTAGCACAACTTGCCTCCAATGTGTAAGACAAATTGAGGAGTGTGATAAGGCTCTTTGACAAGTACTTCTATGGTTAACTCAACAATTTGCCTACTTTATCAGGGTCTGGTGCTTTGAGGGTATTTGTTACTTCTCGATCAAGTCCTCTGACTGTTTAAGTGTAGCCGAAGAGGGTAAAAAATTTTTAAGTCATCAAGAGAAATTCTTTTTATCATTTATAATCAAGATTGCATGATTACTAATGTACCAGCATTGCCATTATTGAATGACAAATTTATTATCATACTAATGTTTTTATTAAATGGTAATCACAAAAGATAGATTGATCACAAGCATGCAAGACAAAAGGCTAGTTCTACAGCATAATCTAGTTCTTTCGACATAAATAACATGAATTAAATCTTGCTGGAAAGTAACATGAAAAGAATAAGGAATTCAACTGCAGTAATTCATAGGAGTTGTCTACTGGTAATAGATTTTCTTAAATAACAAGCATTTATGCATTTTAAGCGGTAAAGCATATAAATGTATATTGCCAACAAAACAACGAAAATAGTTACCACCTTTTCACAATGTGTACATTGCTTCTCAAAACTCAGGTTTCCAACTGCAGCCTCTGTGCTTAACCTTGCACTCTTTGCAAGAGACACCCAATCTCTAATAAAACTTCTGTAACAGAAGGAAGAGAAAAAATACTATTTACAATGAAATATAAAGATATGAATCACAATAAGAAAGAACCCAAATAGGACAAGCGGCTAAAGTATACAGCTCAGTAGTCATACTTGGAGTTTGACTTTTGTTTCATGCTCATTAGAGCTCTGATACCCCCACAGCAACTATGTCCAACAACTAAAATATTTGAAACCTACAAAATCCTATAAGCATTCTTAGTTACAATTGTAATGTTTTGATTGAGCAAATAACCAATGAAAACCTTCACTGCATTGAGTAAACACAAACTATCCAAATATCTAGTTTTCCTTGCCTCTAATGTATTTACGGCAAACTCAAGAGCTGCACTTGTTTCTGATGCTCCATGCTGTTAAAAAGATAGCGAAGAGAGAACGATAAAACATTCAAAAATTGAAAATAAGAAGTGGCTTCATTTTTTCAAAAAGAAATATACCTGATATGGTGGAACCAAATTTGCCACATTCCTGACAGTAAAAGCTTCTCCAGGTTGTAAACCCAAGATTTTGGAGGGGCAGACTCTAGAGTCTGCACATGCAATGACCATGAACTGCAAGATGATACAACCATAAAGCATTAAACAGGTGTTCTAACATGGCAATTAAATGATTAAACGAGAGTAAAAAGAAGGTAGAAGATGAAAGGAGAACCATTATACTTAAGCTTGTTTGCACTACCTTAGGTGATTGTCCTTGAGCAAGGTTTTGATAATGATCCAGATTTTCCCTGTTCATTGAAACTTTCATCAAGAAAATGGTAATTCACAACTTCATGGGCCTACGGCTGAAAACACTTGAACTTACAAGTAGTCTTGCTTCTTAAATTTCAGGAACCTGGCTTCAAAATCCTTTAATGGATCTAAATCATTATCTTTCAAATCATGTCTCCTATCACTTTTCTTGAGTTCCTGTCCCAACCCACAAGGATCTTTCGAGGCCATTACTTCAAAATAAGTCCTGCAAATAGTAATTTCCTTCATTCGAATACACTTTCGAAACAGGTAGAGCTTAAGAGCACTGCTTCACAATAAATATGAAAAATAATTTAAGGTGACCTAATAGAGAGATCCTCAATCAATTTTATGCAGCCATGAACAGAAATTAGACTTTTTGGCTAAAAAAATAAATTAAAGTAACCAGTCAACAGTAGCATTGCCCAAATCATCCAGGCCAATTCATCACACCAACAACTAGTTTATGCTCTATCTCTTTTTTTCAGGATGACTCAAGCGTTAGATAGCAGGTATGCTAGCTTTTTTATCTTTAAAAAAAAAAAACTTCTATGATATCCATTGCTGGGTTACGCATCAATATGCCAATTTCTAGCATCTTCTTCAAAATCATTAGTATTAGCCTTACCCAACTATTTAGGCCTTAGGGTTGAATTTATAAATATTTTTTCTGAATATTGCATGAGGAGATAAACCTATCCTGAGCTTTTTTTTTTTTAATGCAAGTTTTTCTGTATGTTACCATTGCTCTACTTCTCTTTACTCCTAATATATTGGCACTAATTTTATATGATTATTTTTTGGTGCATCTTTAATTCTATTTTGTACAAATCTAAACCATCTAAGATTATTTTTATCACATTACCTTCAATAGATGCTGCTCCAACCATCCCGCTAATATAATCATTCTTTATCCAATCTATTCAAGCTGTCACCAATTCATCTTAAGATTCTGATTTTTTCTACACTCCACTTCACTATCAACAACTATTTTAATACATATTGCTCAAATCCATAAAACATATCCAATCTAATTGCAATTTTATAAAATTCACCTTTCTAAGTCTTCATGTCAATTTCTAGCATAGAACTACAAATTATTTAACTGTAGCCATAAAGAGCATGCTCCTGGCAATCATTCCATCAACTTCTGGAAAATATCTGAATCAAATAAATTAATAGCATCATTTTCGGCATTGAATTTCTTATTGTGTTCTCCTAACTCACAAATTAACAATTTTTTCTTTGTCCATTAACTTTTTATAAAGAAAAGTCCGATAATTGCCTTCAAATTATGCCAAACTTTGAATGTCCCGTCTAAAACTATTTTGTAACGATACAAAGCCAGTATGCTTAATCCCAGTCCATGCCTTTCACTTTCTTTAATTCCCGGTCCAACCCACAAGGATCTACGAACATGAAAACAGCTCCTAAGAGTAAGAACATCAAAGAACAGTAAAAACCTATTGTATTTTCCTAAAATTATATCATATAATACCTCCTCACTATCTCCTACAGCTTGCATATAAAAAAAAATGATCTTCATAAGAGTCCTGCTTCACAGTAAGGCTGAAAAAATGATTAAAGTTAGCTTCTAGCCTAAGAAAGAAGCTATTATTCAATTAAATGTAGCCATTGACATAAGTTAGATTGTTTTGCCGCAAAAAATAAATTAGATAAAATGTCAGGTTTGACAAATTTTAAAACCAGTCAATGGTAAAATTGTTCTAAACATCCAGACCAAGTTATCAAAAGCAAACGGTTTGTTCTCTCTTTTCATTTTTTCGGTATGAGCTGAAGTGTGAGATAGCAGCAGGTATGCAGTAATGTCTATTGCAGTGTCATTCATCAATAAGCCAATATCATCAACATCATTATAATTAGTCTTATACCATCTATTTGAGCTTTGTGGTTAACTTCACAAACCTTTCTTCTCCATTTGCTTCTACTAAATGTTACATTAAGTACTAAACAAAGGCATCTTTTGGGCAAATTTTTTTCATGTTATCACTAGCCTACCTCTCATTCTTCCTAATCATCTAACACTAATTTTACCCTTCCATCTTCAAGGTACACCTTCTGCCTTTTGTTGTACATGTTCATACCACCTACCTAAGTCTATTATCTACCATTTTATTTTAAAAATTTCCTACTCAAATCATTCCAATAATATAATAATCCTCAATTCATTCTTCATAGCTTTACTAGAAATCCATCTTAATATTTTCATTTTTAGCTACACTCAATTTGTCCATCAGTGAATATTTTATTGCAAACAACTCAAATCCATAACACATTTAACCTAAATGTAATCTCATAAACCTCTAAGTATCCCTGTCAAATTTTAGCATGGAACTAGATTTTTTTTAATACGGATGAGGTTTGCAAATATGTTAACTTAGCCATTAGAGAAAGCTCCTCCAAACCATTCAATCAAATTCTCATGAACATCCGCATCAAATAGATTGATAGCATCATTTTTCAACAGTTAATTTCTTTTTCCATTCTCATAAATCACTAATCGACATTTTAATTCCACTTATTAAACTTTTTACTAATAAATTTTTTCCCCAAATACCGGCCTCAAAATAATGCCAAAAACGGCCGATCGAAAACCATTTTGTAACAATACAAAACCATTGCTCAAATCTCAGGCTTCCAGGACCTTTTCTCTGCAATTTCCTTTTAAATTGTAAACCCAGACAAATAAGTAAGAAAAAGCTAATCACCAAAAACAAACGCCAAAATTTTTTCAAAGTGAAAACAGTGATATTACCCAAAGAAAATCAAAACATAGCCTCGTTCCGCATGCACAAATTATAAAAACCGCATAATCTATCAGGTCAATAGCTTACTTAACGGTTCCCAAGCTCCTCCAACGAGAATCCTTCTGTCTAATCGAACGTAAAGGCGAGACGTTCATCTGAGAATATCAGCATCTTCAAACCTTAGTACTAGCCATTCTAAAACACCAAAGAAGAAATCCTCACAGAGATCTCACCATGACAGATTCCATCGGCTTTCTATGTAACCCCGTGAAGTTTCCATCAATGGACAAATCGTTTGTCGCTGCGTGAAAGGAGAGCAGCCTATAAACTGAAGCCATCGGAATATCGGACGAAAGAGCCACCAAGCGAGGGTTAGGGTTTGGATCGATATCTAAGTTTGCAGTTGGTTACTCTTACTTGGAGAGAGACCCATAAGGAAATCGAGCGTTGGCATTTTGTGGGCGGAAGTGAGCGACCATGGACGGAGGTCACGAGGCTTGGATTAAAAGTATATTAAATGGCGGAGCTATCGTGATTGCGTGGCCGTCTTCTTCCGCTGCAACTTATTGCAGGCAGAGGACAGGGGAGAGTCGTTGGGTTTAAATAGGTTTGGATGAGATGTCAGACTTAATGCAGCAAACAGCTGTTTTGCCCAATAAGTAGGCGCCAAGTGAGCTGTCGGTCAAATATATTTTTTATTAAAAGACTTTATGCAATAAATAATATTCATAAGAGTCAAAATTTAATATTTATTTCTAAAACAAATTAAAAAAATTATTTTCTTTACAATAAAATTATCAAAAAATTCAATGCAATATCTATTTGAGCTTGAACAAGTAGATATATGCAACTGTCTTAATTTTTACAATGATGACAAGCTATGAATTCAAAACCTCTTGGTCTATAGTCAATGGTAGAGTGAGTTGGGGTTCCGCAGGGGAACGTGCCCCCTTTGAATAAAAAAAAATTTATCGATTCAGATTCAGAAAGGGTAATTTTAAAGACTAAGTATGATTAGAAACATAATTAGCACATTAATAATCAATTTTAAAAATTTTAAAAAGTAGGCATAATCATCTGTTTAACGAGAGATTAATATTTATGCCGAAATCACCCGTTTGACGGGTGATTTATGATTTATGTATGTTTAAAACAACTGGCCGAAGCCCTAGTCCCGAACCCGTTACTCTTTTGCCTCTCCGATCCGGTCGCCCTTCGCTTAGCCACCGGAGTTTGCTGTTTAAGGTAAGTTTTAATGTGTTTTTTTTTTTAAATATAAATTTATATTTTCTTATTAGTTTCCTAAATAAATGGTAGAATAAGGAAAAAAAAGTAAATGCATCATGTAAAATTGTAGAATGAGGTGGTTTTAGGTGATGCCTATATTATGTGTTTTTGTAGAAATCTATGGATAAATCATGCAAAAAGCAAAGGATTCATTAGTATTATGTATTTTTTTATGTTTGTTAAAGGGGGGATTGTTTATTTCTTTTAGCTTCCAATGGAGATTAATTATAGAAAATAAATGAGTATTAAAGAACCATATATTATCTATTAGCTCTTCATATCTATTACTTAAATATTTTTAAATACTCATTAATATAATTATAATATATCAGTACATTTCAGTATGTTTAGTCGCTTAGTGTTTGTAAGTGTATTTTACCTTTTTTATATTTAGTGCCTTTTTTAATAAAGTTAATGCGTAATTGAATTCATCTAATTAAGAGCATCTCCAACCGAGAACTCTATTTTTCACGGCAAAATACAACAAAACTCCAAAATGCCGTGATGCTGCTCCAATCGAACGTCATTTTATGTGCATATGCGAAGGTAACAATCCTTCTCCCTTTCGTGCATTTTTTTCGGTTGAGAGAGCAAAATAGTGTAGGTGAATAGTGCGACACCAAACTGTTCATCCGCAAGTAAATGGCGGAAGATTTGGCGTTCGGCTGGAGCGACCGAATGACGCCATAGGCTAGTTTGGCGTTCGGTTGGAGATGCTCTAAGACAAAGAAATGCAAATTTTTATATTAAGTGTTTGTAAATGTTTTTTACTGATTTTGTAATTAGTTAATACATATTTGGATTTATTTAACTAAGCAAAAAAATGTAATTTCTTACTGAACTTCCCTATCTAATCTTATTAAAAAAAATATGGAGTACAAATTATTGGACTATCAATCTAAGTTATTTGCACCTAGTAAGAAATAAAATTTATTTTTTCAGCTACAAAAGAAATGAATGCTTTTTTTTCTTAAGGCAAAGGAATTTTCATTTCAAATATTTTTTTTTGGAAGTGAGCGACCATGGACGGAGGTCACGAGGCTTGGATTAAAAGTATATTAAATGGCGGAGCTATCGTGATTGCGTGGCCGTCTTCTTCCGCTGCAACTTATTGCAGGCAGAGGACAGGGGAGAGTCGTTGGGTTTAAATAGGTTTGGATGAGATGTCAGACTTAATGCAGCAAACAGCTGTTTTGCCCAATAAGTAGGCGCCAAGTGAGCTGTCGGTCAAATATATTTTTTATTAAAAGACTCTTTATGCAATAAATAATATTCATAAGAGTCAAAATTTAATATTTATTTCTAAAACAAATTTAAAAAATTATTTTCTTTACAATAAAATTATCAAAAAAATTCAATGCAATATCTATTTGAGCTTGAACAAGTAGATATATGTAATTGTCTTAATTTTTACAATGATGACATCAACCATCAATATAAATCTTCACTTTTCAAAGTTAGCAACCTCACTATTAAATTATTGTTTTTAATAAAAAAAATAAAAAAAATCAATATCATTGTTTTTAGTAGTCAATGAAAACAAACACTATAAAATTAATATATTATTTAAATCCATTTTATTTATTTATTTATTTATTGGATATTTAAGTTAATTAAGACAAATTAACATTATATCATATACAAAAGCTATGAATCCAAGACCTCTTGGTCTATGGCCAATGGCAGAGTGAGTTGGGGTCCCGCAAGGGAACGTGCTCCCTTCGAATAAAAAAAAATTTACATGTACAGAATTGGGCATTTTGGAAGTATTAAAGCCATGACACGTCAGCTAACTACTTGTACTTTCTTGCATACGGCTTCTTGTAAATACGCTTATATATAGGCTTGTTCTGTACATACTTCATATAGATTTTTGAGTAGCTTGATAAGCTTTCGAGTCTAGTCGAGTTGAGCTCGAACTTGAGCTCGTTTATCATACGAGCTCGATTGTAGGCTCGAGCTCGAGCTCGAAGCTCGAAAAGCTCGGCTCACGAGCTCGTTAACGAGTCGAGTTTGAGCCGGCTTATGAGCCGGCTCGGCTCACTTACACCCCTAGTGTGCATATCCTATAGGCAATCATCCTTGTATTCTTACCATTCATGGACGCAACACCTAAATATCTCATTATGATTAGCCTTCTGCTCTAACGGACTGTCATCGACTCATGCTATGCAAACATGCATTTTTCGGCTTGTATCATTGAATCTTTCTTTGTTGGGGATGCCTGTAACCTTCTTCATACATGACCAAAATATTCTGAATAACTCAAAAATAACTTAAGAATTATACTCAATGTATCTACCATTTACCCTTTAAATAGCTGAGATTAAAGTTATTCAATTAACACTAGCAACCAAAAATCACAATAGAACTTAGAATTGATCAAACAACTTTACAGGTCATCTAATGTGAGGTGTTATTGTAGGCTAAATGATTTGTCATTGCAAAATGATTCTGTCATTATCAAGATCCTATGCTTTTAAAGATATTTTTAAAAAAGAGAGTTCCAATATCTAAAATTAGTACATACAAATGTCCAAAAAAAATCCCATAAGGTTTGAATATTTTTTTAAAAAACATCTCCAAAGATACGCTTCATAAATTACACCGGGTTATTTTGTCAATGCATAATTTCTAATTTTTGAGAAATTGCATTAATTAGGTCACGTAACTTAACCAATCTAAAATTAATTTATAAAATCATTTTGGACAAGGATAAATCGCCTATTTAATGGGCGATTTAAATCACACGTGAATCTGAATTTCATTTTTTAAAAATTTTGTTCTAAAGGCTTAGTCGCCTGTTTAACGGACGATTATGCATACTTTTAAATTTAAAACATCAATGCTTAGGGCATCTCCAACCGAAAATGTCAATTTTCACTCCAAAATGCAGGGAAATCAAAAAATGCCGTGTTTCATCTCCAATCCAACGCCATTTCGCCGCTAAAACAGTCGTTTTCTTTCGCGTCTTTCTTCCCAACCTGTTCGGTAGAGAGAAAAAAATGGCGCAGATGAACAGTGCGACGTCAATATTGACGTCACACTGTTCATCCGCGATCAAATGGCGTCAAAAATGGCGATCGGTTGGAGCAAAGCAAGACGGCAAACAAGTATTTGCCGTTCGGTTGGAGATGCCCTTAATCCGCTAATTACAATTCTAATCATGCTTAGTCTTAAAAATTGTCCATTCATAAATAGAGACAAAAAAGTTGCTGCGCAGAGCAAGGTCAAGTCGGACTCCTCGCAACGTCGTCTCTGCACACAGAAGATTTCGTTTGCTCTCGTCCGGTACAGGACAGGAAGTTCTCGTCGGGCTCTTCTCTCCCTTCTTGGCTTCTTTCGTCTTGGATACGGCTGGCAGCTCAGGTAAGATTTTGTTTTTGGTTTTGATTTTCTTATTTTCTATAGTTTAGTTTATAGCTTGTTTTTATCCTAAACTAAATTAGATTTAATACAGTTTACAGTTTCTGATTATTGATTAATGTGTTAAAAATCTCAGAAAGTGGACGAGGATTAAATCTTGTTTAAAGAAATATCATTTTAACACATTAATTAATATTACTCAGAAACGAGTTCTTTAAAATTGTAAACTGTACATTGAATCTCGTCCAGTTTCTGTAGGATAAAAAAATAATAGTTTTATATTTAGTTTATAGTTTTTATGTTTTATGTAGTTCACGAGTTTGAATTTGTACAAAAATTATGGAGAAATATTTTAAGAAGTCCTCATCACAATCTTGTATATCAACACCAATAAAGGATTCAGAAAAAAAGAATTATGAACAAAATAAAAAATGAAATCGAACTTCTTATAATTAAAATATAGGCCTCTTCTATGAAAATATGAAGAACCGAAGGTATAATATTGTAAGTGTAATTCTTCTTATATTTAGTAGTTTAATTTTTAAAATTGCTAATACGGGTCCCAAGCCTGCACGATGAAGAAAGTTGAGGGGATTTAAAAAAATAAAGGGCCCCCTCTATGAAAAGTTTTTGCCTCTTTCATAGCAAAATCTCTCAACCAACAGATCAAGATGAGCCGCATAATTGTTATTTATCGTTGATACGTACTCCAAAAATTAGCTTGATCGGGCACGAATCTCGAAGCAAAAGCTAGTTGAAAACTTCAAAAATTAATTCAGAGAGCACCCGAACTCCGATTTCAGCGAGCTTACAGTCAAACTGAGCGTCTCGGAAATACCAACCCAACGACACCAAGATCAACCCAATCCGAGCTTAAATGAGTCCGAATCAAGGGCTCAAAGTGCTATTGGAAGGTTCAAACTGCAATTTGAGTTACCAAGCGGTCTCCGATTTTGACGAGCTTATACTCGAATCGAAGGGCTCGACGAGACAAATCCAACGAGCCCAAGTTGTCGAAAATTATGAAAAAAAAGCATGTAATTAAAATACTACAATATAAATGACTACAATTTAAAAGATATGGCGAAGAGTCGAAAACAGTTTTCAAATTTGTCTTAAAATTAAACGACTCTTGAGAAAATTTATTTATCTGTGTCAAAATACATGCTATTACAATAGGATGCTGAATTAGCTGTCTCATGGTTTATTATAGGAACATTGCATGGTTGAAAAGTTTTAATGTCCCATCATCTAATCTTCCCTGCTTGTTTCATTAAATTTTTTTATCATGTAATTCTTAAATGCTTGTCTACTTGTATTTGAATGAGACTTATTTTGCTTTGGTTTTGATCTTAATTTTCATAAGAGCCATGGTTAGGAGCATTAAATATTATTGTATTTGAGTGTAAATGTCTTGAGCATAACCCTCTTCTATGTAAGTTTTCTGTAAAATTTGAGGGTTGAGATTATACATCAATTTGTTCATAATGCATTGGACAGCTTTGAGAAGATTAGAGATCATCCCATGAAAGGTTTACTGTGTGATGGAGTTAGATGATTGAAAGAATGTATGAGAAGGTCTCCAGATAGTCCTTAATTTAAAGATGAAGGCGAGGATGAATGAAATTTTTAGTTGTTGCATGCGTGACTGGATTGGAGACCTATACTACTCACTTTTCAATTTGCACGAAGAAGCAATGAGGATCGATGCTTACAAGAAAGGTAATTTATCAAACTGTTTAGGTTGGATATATTAAGACTGGATGTTATACACATATGATCGTCATTTTGTGGGTCTTCATGTCCTTCAAATATGTTACCATCATCTACAACATGAAAGTGCTTCTTAACAAGATTTTGAAAGTTTTGTGGATGACATGAATCATGTTATTCTTTATCATCCTTGGTTGCTAAGGGAGGAAGAATTTATTCTAGATTTTTATAGAAATAAGATGAAGGAGATTTTAAGTGGGCGTGCAAGAAGCTTTTTTGACGCAGAAAATTGGTTGGATCTGTAGTGCAAGTTTGAGTTTCATTTTAAATATTGTCCAACTTCAAACACAATTCCATGGGTTGAATAAGCGAAAACAGAATGTGTTGATGCCTCTATGTACTATGTTCACCCCTGTGATCTTTAGTTTTTGCTTAATCTTAAATGTAATGATGTGGTATGTTCTTGGTTGTCTTATATTTGTTATATTATGTATGTTCTCTATGGCAGAGCATTATCGTTGTTCATTTTTCACAATACTACATCTTCGCCTATCAATGAAGCACTATATATCATAAGTATTTGAAATTTTCTATGTTCGTTTTGTCTAAGATTTCAATTCTAGTAAGTTAACAGAATTAAGTCAATAAAAGTCCTTGATTCATTCAATCATAAACTGAGAGGCAATAATGCTGAACTCATTTTATTTAAATGCAAATGCATAATCATGCTATGTTATGCACTTTATATATGATTTTGAAGTATAATATTTGTATGTAAACTAGGGGTGTCAATTTTGGGTATGGGTCGGGTTCGGGTCGAACCTGAAACTGACCCGGCACTATTCGGGTTAATCCGAACGCGACCCATTTTTACTAACGGGTTTGTTTTTCGGACCCGAATCCGACCACTTCGGGTCTGAGTCAACTCGACACGACCCGAATGACCTGAGGCCAACAAAAAATTACTAGTTTTCGGTTCAAAAAAAGGTTTAATCTTAGCTTTTCGGGTCGAAAACAGGTCAATCTCGGGTTTCCAGGTCAAAACAGGTTTTCGGGTCAAGTTCGAATCAAAGGTCAACCCAAACCGACCCGATTTTTTAAATAGGTAGAATCGTTGAACTCGAACCCGACCCATTTCGGGTTCTACTTGATCCTAACCCGAAATTTTTGGGTTGAATTCGAGTCTGATTTTCGGGTTGTGTCAAATATTAACACTCCTAATGTAAACAGATATGGGATCTCTCTCTTTAATGTAACAACAAAGTTAAGGCAATTTTGTATTGATTCAAAGTTTTTGTTTATTTGTCCATCTCAAGTGTTTATCTGATCCTATAACAAGATAAGTTCTCTAAGATTTTGACAATAAATTTGCAACTCAGCTCATTGAATTCGAATCAACACTTGAGTTTCTTATGATCGAGTGATAGACTCATTTGCAGTCCTAATGGCAAGGTAAGAAAGCATTAACCATGGCACCCAGAATTTCTGCACTTTTCCAGATTCTACGCCTGCAAGAACATCAAGAACAGCCACCACGAGAAGTTATTAGGTGCCCATGAAAATGCGCCACATCACCCTCTACTCGGTACCGCAGCTCGGTACTGCACGGTTCCGAGCTTGATATTGTTCGGTACTGGATGACGTGACTGCATCTGATTCGTCTGTGGAAGATAAGCTATGTCGGGTGTCCGCAGAGAATAATCTTATCGAGTTGCAAAGTGTTGAGATTATTATTGATGTATTACATGTGCTGAAATTCATTTTAGAAAGAGAACATAAGAGATAGATAGGAAGACAATAAATTTAATTAATAGTATTATATAATTATATAAGAAGTAAATTATTATTATATAATAATTAGTTTAATTATTAGTATTATATAATTCTAACTTATTATTTGATTAACTATTGAAATATTAATTAATTTAAATATTAATTAGTTCAATAGCTTGTTTGATTAATTTACAATATTTATTAATAAATAATTTATAAATTAATTATTTTGATTGTGATAATTAAAAAAATTTAGTATGTAAATTGAAAATTTATTAATTTACATATATTAATTAATTTAGGTAATAATTTACAAATTGATTATTAATTAATTATTGATTAATTTACAAATTAATTATTTTCACAATTCCCTCATCAACGATCTTAAAAATGAGAGTCGAGATCTGATCAAAGAGGAAGACGCCAAAAGTTTTGACATCCTCACATGAAATCGCCAAAAATTTAATTTGGTAATTTCTTCATATTTGTGAAGAAATTGCCAAATGTTTTGCTGTCGTCTTCAAAAAACATGATTCCAACAAAAACCTTTAGCGAATAAGCTCCCTTCTAAATTTCCTTTTAATCATGCTCCTTTTCCTAATTTATTGTTAACTTACATTTTTAAAAAATCCCCAAGATTTTGATTGTGAAGTATTTCAAATACGAAAATTTAAAAAATGTAAGTATTTTATTGAATAAAAATTAAATTTAAAGTATAATTGTGATAAATTTAAAATTAACCCTTTAAATCATATTTTATGTATTACAAAATATGCTAATTTAGCAAAAATTCAAATTGGCCGTATGTTGCCTCTACTACTACAACTATCGAATACTACTTGTAGTTTATCACCATTGCCATCGATGATTGTCACTTTTTCAAGGCTTTTCGTTAAGTTCATTTTTAGCCAAAACAAAATATAAAAAAAAATCTCTTACATTTGTTTTAGAGGTGTCAATATCTGACATGACTCGAAAACTCTACTTAAAAATTTAATTTCAGACCCAGATCAGCCCATTTTTCAAATGAGTCGGATTCGAGTCAACCCAAAGATCCAAAAGTAACCTATTTGACCCATCATGCCCACCCTAGGTCCGTTGCCGATCACATCTTGCCCATCACGCTCTTTGCTCGACCTCTTGTGGCCAAATAGCCTTCTAAAATAATGACTTCAAAACCAACAAAATCACAATTTCAATATCCTCACATGAATTTAACATATAAATGAATATTGCTATGCACTTTCAAAGGAAAAAAACAATGTAAAGCTAAATGATGATTAAAATTTATGAACTTAACCCTACAAATGTATCATTTCTAGGATTAATTACTCTGTGCGGATGCCGAACGCCGTCCGGAGATCAACCAGAATATGCCACGTCACCCTTGTGCTCGGTACCGCGGCTCGGTATCGCTGATGTGCCACATTCTAGATGGTCTCCGAATGCATCTAGTCTCCGCACAAAATAATTTCTCCATTTCTAGAGCTCTAGTGCATAAACATATGTGCAGTCAACGAAGAAGAATGTCCAGCACAATGCAAAATCTCCACTTCGAAGAAATTCAGGTAAATCATAAAAAAGGAAGAAAATAAAAAAAGGAAGAAAATTTCGAACAATATTTTCATAGTATAATTATGCAGTATCAGCGTTAGGAGCCTACTCTGCCAAAAATGGAGCAAAAGACGTTAGGAGCCTACTCTTTGCCTCGATGTAATGGTTCCATTCAATACGGCGGAGGAGGCGGAGCACGCGCGTCGCCGGGCATTGTGATATGAGGCGAGAAATGAGAGCCATAGAAAGTCAGTCCACAAAACTCCGCCGCCGGCGCCGTGGAATGGGGTTGACGTTGATGCAAGAGATGATAGTAATGCTGCTGCTGCTCCTCTCCATTTACGTCGCCGCCAGAATCCGAAACCTCGTTCTCGACAGGCGGCCTATGAAAAATCGGATTCATGAACGCCGCCGCCATCACCACCACGACCCCTGCCGTAACAAGCGGCCCCGCCACCATCCCCCCAACAATCTGCCCCTGTAACCCCGCAAGCGAAATCGATATTCCGAAGCCAGCAGCGGCCATCGCCGGCGGCAAGAAAGTCGCCGACATGGATAAGATCTCAAATCGCCCGTGAAACACGATTACCGCAGCCTCCGCCGGCGTAGTAGGCGTGGGCTGCCGGAGCATGACGTTAGTCACGACTCCGGTCGCCGAAAGAACGCAGATCCCTAGTTTTCTCTGCTTTGAGAATCGCTCGAGGCAGTCGACGATGTCAACGCCGCCGGGAATTTCGAGCAGGTGCGGATGCATCGCCAGCGAAGGCTCCGCCGAAGCAGTTATAGACACCGGCTGTTTCGGCTTATTCTTTGAACCAGGCGGGCGGCCGCGCGGCCGTTTCGCCAGCTCGATGCTCGAACCGTCGCCAGCTGCCATCGGCGGCGAGCGGAGCCTACAGGGCTTCTTGTTTCTTTTCTCCACGGCTTCCTCGCTGCTCACTTCATCAGATAATGGTGCATCGGGCTTCATAATCTCGAAGCCGTTGAAGATCATGAACAGGCTATATGGATTATAAAGATATTTTATGTTAGTACTATTAGCTCGTGGTTGAGCTTCGAGTGCAATATAGGGTTTGGAGAAGAGAAAGAGGCGAAGAAAATGGCGTGGGCCGAGGTCAGAAGATGGAAGAAGATTCGGAAAGGTTAGGGTTAGGGTTAGGGTTAGGGTTTTGAAGGATACGTACGTAGAGAAGAGAGGAAGGGGAGAGTTTTACTGCCTTTTCTTGGGGAGATTTGAATTAGGTAATATGAAGGGGTTGGATCTGTTACAATCTTATAGTTTTCTTCGGAGAAATTAAATATATTTCTTTTTTTTTTTGAAATAAATAAGAATTTAAATATATAATTGAGATTTGTTAGCGCAGAGCTGAAATTAACCGCCAATTTTTAGATTTTCTGTGTATCCAAATCCAAAATAAATAAATAAAAATAGCAAGTATTTGGTGAAAGGATTGGTAAGGTTTTAGAAGAAAATTATTTGTTCTCAAATTTTTACTAATGAATTTAAAATGAAGATTGATTATTAATCAAATGATCCATTAAAAATTTTATTTTTAAAGATCTAAATAATTTATAATATTCAAAATATAATAAAAAAAATTGAATTGCTTTAAAGAAATAGCTATAAATATTGGGTACCTTTCATGCCTTCACCCTCGAACCCAGGGGTGGATCCCCCTTTGAGCTGATCAGCCCCTCACCCCCCTTAAAAAAAAAAATATTATATGATTCTTTAGATAATTTTCTTCCTCCATCAATTTTTTAGTCTTCATAACAATGATTTTTAAGCAATTGCTCCCCTAAAAGTTTTAAAATACTATGATCCTTACGCAATTTCCCCTAGCAAATAGTAAAGAGAATTCATCACTTTATTTTTTAATTTGAACTATAAAAATATCCTTACAACCAAATTTTGTTCTTGAAAACCCCCACAGGGGTGTTGCTCCTTGACCCTATGATCTACGAACCCTGATAGGGGGTGCTGCTTCCTTTGACCCCCGACAATTACTTCAAAAATTAAAGCTGGTTCGAACCCCTGCTCGAACCTTTAGGAGGGGAGCTCCCGTCCCTCTTCCAACCATCACAATGATCATACAATGAATAATAAATTGAGAATCATAAAATATTTTTTCATGGGACAAAAATTATAATCAACAATTAAATAATCTTAAGTAGTTAAGTCCTATTAGACCTAGCATTAGAAACCCTCAAATCTCAAGCCTTCTTACTATACTAATTGGCGGCATACACCAATTCACAATACATAATTTTAATTACATATGAACGTAGCCTTAATTATGGAGAGCGACCACAAAGATAGGTTGCACTACGCTAGAAGAACTTCTTGTCACCTTTCCCATATTTAATGATAACCTTAATATCGTAGCTATTGATAGATCCATCAATATTTACAATGAATTTTTTCTCTTCTTTAAAGACTTATTCAGAGGTGCAAGTGAGTCAAGCTGACTCATAAGCCTATTCTGGTTCGATTAGACAAGCATCTTGCGTGCAGAACTTGATGAGCTAATAAACAAAGCTTGGGTAGATTCATTTACACCCCTAGATTTTTCATTAATAATTACTAACATAAATTCTACCACAATTATCGACAGATTTATCTATCGGTAATCATCTGTTGATGGGCGCGTAAACCTCCTTGAAGTAGACGTCTGTGGGCATCAATTTACTTGTGCGAGTTGCAATTTAGCGCTCTAAATTATGCAGCTAGGATGGATGACTTAGGCTTCATTTGGGATGACTTCCTTATTGCTTCTTAAAGCATCTTTTTACTACAAAAATTAAAAAAATTATACTAAAAAGCTGCTTTAAGCAGCAATAAGAAAGTCATCCCAAAAGAAATCATAGATTTCATTTGAGATAATTTTCTTATTACTTTATACAACAGCTTGTTAGCACAAAAATTTTTTGAAAACATTAAAAAAAAAAGGTAGTGACAAAAAATTATCTAAACCAAATGGTAGGGTTTGACAAAATGCCCATTTTGAAAGTCCAATTTCTTGATTCTGCACAATTGTGCTTTACTTGCAATAATTCAATGGCAGCGTTCGAATGAGGCCGTCATTGACCAGAGCTCGTAAATGGCTGCTGCACTTTGGAATGTTGAAGAGAATTTATTGCCATATAAGACATTATTTTCCTCGTTGGAAAGGAATTTTAATAATATTTGATAACGTAAATCGATAGAAATTTCCAATTTTTGGTAATTAAAGTGGTTAATTAAGATGTTATGAAATAATTTTATTTCAATTTAGTTCATGAATTATATCTAAATTTAATTCATAAGTAAACATTACACATACTTATGTAAAATTTATGAGTTTATAATTGATGTTCTCTTCTGTCTTATTTATTTATGCTCAAAGAGAGATAAGAGATATAGGTTTAGCTAGCGGAGATCATCATAACATCATTCACCAATGTAAGGCCGGTTTAAAATTGATTTTGAGCGTTAATTATACAAAAAGTTTTCTTGTGACTTAGGCTTTTTTTGGGGCTGACTTTTTATTATTATTTTTTATAATAATTATTTAAATCATAAATATTTTCTCTCTTTCTTAATAAATGAGTAGGCTCGTGAGCCGGCTCAAACTCTTTTAATAAAGCTCAAACTTGAGCTCGAACACAATTAATTAATAAAGTTCAAGCTCAAGCTAGAGGTGACTCGAGCTGGCTCAAACACCCTTACTAGCATAACATTGATGACAATAAGGCAATGATAGCAACAATGATTGATAATAGTGATGATAACATAAAATTATGTTGATTTAAAAATATCAAGAATAATTTTCTAAATATAATTGATGGATTTTTGTTTATTAGTTTGATATATTTTTTCTTAATCATAGGTCCTTATAATTTCTATTAAATTAGTTAAATTTCAAAAAATTTTATTTTGTGAGCCTTAACTAGAGTAGTTGGGCCAAAATCAACAAATTTGTGTACAGAGGCCCATTTCTATGTAGCATCTGCGATTACTTAATATTAGGACAAACGTGGCCCTTGACGTTGGGCTGGGTTTTTGTAGAAGTATTAGTTTTTTAACATAAAGGTTCCATGTATTGGGCCTACTAAAATTTTTTTTACTAGAAAATTGATTTATAAAGCATTTTAGGTTGAATTAATTGAAAAAATGCGCACGACATGGGATTTAAAAAAAAAAATTTGATACAATTTAGAATTAGTTTGTAATATATTTCTTACTGCTTCTGAAAGCAACTTTTTAGTACAAAAATTAAAATTCTTCACAGCTTTCAAATACAAAAATTTTATTTTATTTCTAAAAAAATGCTTTAAAAAGCAACAAGAAAACTGTCTCAAGAAAATCCTTAATCACATTGGGCTAAGTGCGAGTGTACAAATTATTGAATTGCTAAGATAAAATAGTATGCCACATATGATTCGACACGCTTTTGATAGTTAAATTCAATCACTTTTTTGTCATAAGAGTGAACACTGTAATAGCCATAAAATGAATCTAAATTTTAGCGAGATTTGATCTAATTGAGTGAAGCGAGTCCTTAAAAGTCTTGATCAAATAGCAAAAATTACTTGATTCACTTTAATTCTAAGATTAGTAATTGATAACCATATTAAATTAACTAATGTATTAGAAAATAATTTTTTCATGAGATAGACTATGAGAAAGTTACTACTAATAACCTATAATTGAATCCTTCTTATTAGAGCTGTCAAAATTATGTCACGAATCGGGTTTGAGTTCAATCTAGAACTGGCACAACACTATTCGACCCGACCTGAACCGAACTAGTTGTTGCAAACGAGTCGATTTTTCCGATCTGAACCCGACCCACTACGGGTATGTTTTACTAAAATTAAGATAATATTTACTTCAATCAATTTAAAATAAATGAAGATTAATTCAATTTAGTTAATATGATTTATTATTTTTTGGAAATTGTATTTATTTATTTCATAATAATCTATTAAGCTATTACTAAATTAATTAAAAATGGATCAAATTGGATTGAATAGCAATCTCAATGCAGAAAAATAAATATTATATCCCCTCGAGTTTTCTTCAACAACTGATAATGCTACTCAGTATGGCCACCACCACAAGGAGCTGGTACATTTTTCCTAAAACTGCAAAACAAGGAGCTTCTCTACCAGGTCAAGTGGATGCAGCAGAAACTGGAAGAGAGAAAGGCCTTCCACCGTTCTTTCCATATCCATGGCCACCTTGCTGTAATGATCGGTTCTCCAACTCCCTCTTCTTTTTCAACGGCGTTGCCGCAGTCAAACTTTTTCTGCTGGAAGGAGCTCCTGATCTCTGCCATGACTTTTGCTGCTGCTGATTTTCTGGTTGCCCAACTTCATCCTCCACGTCTTTTATGTTACCAGTCATCGACGTTCCTCCGGTTGAATCAATTGAATTCATCTCCCACATGGATGAACATGGTTTCCCTTCGAAGCTATTGCTCCCAGCGGACTCCTGGGGCTCCAAATCCCACCTATTGTCCCTCACTGTAACATACTTGTGCAGGCTTGGCTCCAGTAGATCATCTTTCACCACCAGCTCTGACTCCACAAATGGCTCCCTTCGAGCCAGTAATCCACGTCTTGCAAACCCGCCATTGTTGCCAGACTGGTCTGCTTCATAGCTCCTACGATCGGAGCAAGAGGAATTGAGATCTGCGACGGCATCGAGGATGGAGCAGGCCTTGGAGATGCAGGCTGGGAGGGAGAAGGCTGTGTGATGCTGCTGCTGTTGGTGCTGGATGTCTTCAAGCAACAAGGAAGCATAAGATGTTTGATTGAATCCTGGGTTGTTGTCAAGATCACGCGATGATCTTCTTGATGATCTGGTTCTTGTTAGTGTTCTTGGATTGTGGCTTTCTATTTCGTTTCCAGCTGTCTTTGGATCTTTGCCTTCCTCTGCTATTTCCTGCTTCTTTAGCTGCTGCTGCTGCTGCTTGGTGGCGACACTCATATGGCTGCTATTTCTCTGATCTGAACCAGCGATCGTGCTAATGCCTTCACCGGCTTTCTGAAATCAAAATAGTTCAACTCAGATGAGCAATGACAAATTATACATTTTTTTTCTCTTAAGGAATGCGAATTCTGCTGAGAGATTTGACTGATAATAGAATATAACATTCAACTAGAGAAATGTTGAAGATTTATTGAATTGAGTGGAATGAAAAAGAGAATTTTTTTTTCAACAAAATTTAGTGCGAACAGAAAGAATAAGTGGGATCGGAGATACCTGACAAGAGTAAATTGTGCTCACTGGCTTTCTCACCCCCTCATCTACTTCTCTGCTCTTCTGAAACACGCTGGTGGAGCCTCCATTCTGGTTTCTATACGAGTTATCTTCGATCTCAGCCAGAGGATTTCTTCTATAAGGAGACTGATCTGCCTTCCTTGAGGAATTCCTACTAAGGGATTGAAGTTGAGGATTCTCATTCGATGTCCTGGTGGTGTTGGCCGGTGACCGGGATCTTGGAGATGAGCTCCTCAATCCTCCAGCTGCTGTGGCGATGGATGCTCTTTTAACACCCGAATTCCCACCCCCTGACTCGGCATTCGCCGGAGTTCCCTTTTCCCTTGCAGGAACCGAAACCATCTTGGCAGGTTGCTGCTTCTGCTTATCAGAAATCGCGGTGGCAGAAACCGGGCCGTCGGATCTCTTTCCAGGAGATCTGCTCACTCTTCTTTCTCTGCTATTGCCCCTCTCTCTACTCCCTGACCTCTCTCGGTTTGGAGCTCGCCTGCGAGGGGAAGGCCTTGACACATGATTATCTCGCTCATCTTCTACCTCCTTCCTCCTCTCTTCATCGAAGTCATAGCTTCTCTTTGAGCCGGAGTACCTCCTCTGCCCAGCACCGTCCGTCTCTTTGGAAATCTTACCAGAGGAGCTGCGGCTAAGACGGCCGCATTGAATGAGGATGGCATCGAGCTCCTCTTTGGTGCAGCTCGAAGTGCTCAATGGCGCCGACGGCTTCTCATCAGCGGTAGCTGCAGATTTACAAGCAGGTTCCTCCTCAAGCTGGGAGCTTTTCTTCACAGGGATCTCGCATTTCTTCTTCTCTTTATCTTCAGCAACAAATGAAGCCTGCTTTGCACTCAAGGCAGGAGCGGTCACTGAGACAACCGGTTTCTTCTCAGTTACCCTCGGCTCCTTCTCTTCCTTCTCCGAACTGTTCTCTTTGGGTAAATCGTTGGACGGAACTTTAGTAGGCGAGGTAGCATCCCCCTTCTTGCTGAAGCAAACGCCCATTGATTTCTTTCCGGGATCTGATTGGAACAAAACAAGAGAGGAAGAAGATCTGCGAGACAACAAAAAGGGGATTTGAGACTTATAAGAGCATTAGGCGTTGATGGCACGGGAATCGAAGAGGTTTAGTGATAGGATTTCAAATTTTGTGTCAACGGGCGGGAGGTACAGTGGGGTTGGGCTGGATCTGAACTCTGAAGGTAGCCGTTGAGCTTACTTCTTTTAAAAGTAAAATATTTAGTCAGGCATCAAAATTTTACAATTATTATTTTTTAGTTATTAAATTCACTTTAAATTTTAAATAATATAAATTATTTAATTTATATATTATGCTTATCTTAAAATAAATTATTGACCATAAAATGTATATTTTGTTCTATTTTTTCCTTTTAATAATGTATAATATTTATTTCAAAATGAAAAGAAAAAAATAAAATATAGAGGCAATTTTAAAATTTGAGGATTTTTAATTTTTTTATGAAAGTTAAAATATTTATTTATTTTTTCTTAAAAATTCTTCTAATTTTAAACATTTATTTTATAATAATTTTCTTTTAAGAGCTAATTTTTTCACTCTAAATAAATCTTATTTCCTTTCTCAATATTGAGTATATTCCATGCAGCTCTTATTAATCTATTGATCTGTTGGTTTAAAATTTAGACTATCAATTAAAATATTTTGAATTAGAAGTTTATGCATATAAATTTATATTTATTTAGCTCAAAAATCCCTTACCAAAGAAAAGTACTTTCCATTTTTCAAAATTTTGAATCCTCTTAAAGGCTATATACAGTATTAGAATAAATGGTACAGGTGGAATCGACCGTTGGGACTTGGGGGACATATCTGAGCTCTGAAGAGAAAAACTGTTTTTTGCATTCTCTTCTTATTTCTAAGGTGAAGAAGGGGAATAGAATTACTGCGCTTGCACTCACAGCATTTACTGGGACTATTATTTCTTGGATATATGTTTTACTATTACTAATGCAATTAGTGTTAAGATATTAATTAATAAAATTTTAGGCTTTGTTTGAACAACTTTTCTGCTGCTTTTGTAGCTTCCTAATAAAAAAATTTTTAATTCATAAAACTTTTTAACTAAAAATTTACTTTAAATAACAAACGAAGCCTTAATTAATTTTACTTTCTGAAACTTTCAATACGTGTTTCATCTGCATCAACAGTTTAAAAAGGTATTTTTTTCTTATAATTTTTAGTACTAAAATACAAAATATATATTAATAAAAAAATTTAAATTGATAACATCCACTCCAATTTTGAAACTTTTATTTGGTCCGGTGAACGTACATAGAGCTACGTTCGGCCGGCACTAAGATCGCAAGCACAAAACGAGAAATACCGAGCAATACCAACAATAACGAGAAATACTATTATGTGAAGATAAAATATCGAGTAATACCGAACAATACCGAGTAATCCCAAAAAATACCAAGTTTTTCTAGAAACAATACCTAGCAATACCGACCAAATACCGAGCAAAAACCGAGTAACAATCCTCTGACCGAACGTAGAGCTACGTCCGGTCAGAGGACGTAATAAAAGTAACCAATTTTGAAAGAGTGTGACATCTTTTATCGACAGAAATCATATTAATTTTATATTTTTTATTTGAATATTTTCGAAACATTTAAAATGAAAAACTCCACCTTTTAAAAGAGGATAACACTAATTTGTGAAATACAAATGGTTGAGATACTTATGATCATTTTGCTCTTGTTTTACTTTAGGAATCAAAGCAAGAGAAAAATGATCAATTAGTATCAATTTTATTATTTTTATTATCCATAATAGCATGCATAATACCATTTTCATCTTCTTGAGGGCAAAAGTTTTGATTATTTTGTTTACCTACAATGAAAGCCATCTATATGCTTAAACAAACATCACACCAATATATCAAAATATAAGAGTTCAAATATCCATAATAACATTAATAAACAATTAAAAAAAAAAACACTTATGAAGAAAATTCTTTAAGTAATATATCAATCTTTATAATAAGAGAAACATGCTATAGCAAATTTATTTACAGATCTCTTACATTATTTAGGCAACAAAAGATAAATCACACAGAACCAAAGTAAATGATGTTTAAATATATGCAACAAATACCAGCCACAGTTGATCATGCAAGCCTTGAGAGTGATGCTCTACTGGGGGCGGTAATAACCACCCTGAGGATAATTTTGTGGGGGTATATTGTACGGCGACGGTGGCGGATGTCCGGTCGCCGGCTGCTGCATTTGCGTGTTATAATATGGACCGCGCCAACCTGGGTAAGCTGGCTGGCTGTAGTCATGGCTAGGGGGAGGGGGTTGATTGGTGTACTGCTGGTATTGACCTGGAGCTTGGTAAGGCGATGGCGGTGGCGGTGGCGGTGGCTGCTGCGAGTAATTTGTATATGGCTGAGAGAATCCAGGCCTTGCGTGCTCGCTGGGCCGGTGGAAAAATGGTAGAGTGAAGGAGGAGGGCCGTGGCGCCGGTTGTGGATCCGATGATGGATGGGAGGTGGTTCTGGGAAGATTCGACTGACCTGAAGCAAAGTTTAGCCCAGCCATTTGTCTCTGCACATCCTCGAGCATTTCACGGCACTGTATGTTTCTGGTCATCACAAAGTCGCTGCACTGCTGCTTTACATTGTTTATTGCATCCTGTTTGTAGAGGAAGATGGAAAAGGTTTCAGATTTGAATATTTTCTACATGACGGTAAGATGTTTTCCATTCATTAATAAAGGCTCAAGCAGGGGTGGAACCATCCATAATTTTGGGGGAGGAGGGGGTTACTTATAAGTAACTGTTGGCATATATGTCGGGAGTCCAAGGGGGCAGGCCCCCTGGCAGGGTTCGGAACAAATTTTGATAACAATAACACATTTACATAATGTATTTAATTATATTGGGGCAATTGCCTAAAGATCATAGTATTTTAACATTTTTAGAGGGGCAATTGATTAAAAACACTTGTAATATAGACTAAAAAATAAATTGAAGGGAGACAAATTATCTAAATAATAATTTTAGGGGGAATTGGGACTTAGTAATTGTTGGCATATACGTCGGGGGTCCAAGGGGGCAGCGCCCCCTGGCAGGGTTCGGAACAAATTTTGATAACAATAACACATTTACATAATGTATTTAATTATATTGGGGCAATTGCCTAAAGATCATAGTATTTTAACATTTTTAGAGGGGCAATTGATTAAAAACACTTGTAATATAGACTAAAAAATAAATTGAAGGGAGACAAATTATCTAAATAATAGTATAATGAAGAAAAAAAAAATCTTTTCATGAGGGGAAATTGCCCCCCCTAGCCTCAAAGGGGTTCCGCCCTGACAACAAGAAATTTAGGTCTTGCATCATTTGCGGCTATTGGTCAGAAACAGAATGGAGAGGTGGGCCAAGTTATGATTGTTAACAAGGGTTCAGATATGGTAGCTTTCATTAGAGATGGGTCAAATTAGAAAAAAGAAGCATACCTGAAGAGTAACATAAAACTTCATTCCCTCGTTGATGTTGTCTTTGATTTCTCGATATTTTGCTATTGCAGCAGCAATTTGTTTGTAACATTTGTCCCGAGCAACTGGGGAATAAGCAGTTGGTTTTAGGTCATGACAGTTCAGACTTCCTCAATCATGGGCTAATTAAAATGTGCAGAATGGTAGTCCCAGTTCGAACAAATACAATTTCGCATGCTCAAACAACCAATGTTTTCATTGGCTTCATCATTTAACTAACTAGTAAAAAAGCAATGTCTGATAGTGATTAAGAATGATTACATTTGCATTTTGCACTGTGATTAATCACAAAAATAAATATCATATCATATAGATGAATAACAAATTCTATAATAAACCAGGCAGAAATCTACAGTTAAAACCTGATTTAAGAAAGACGAAACTTAACCATGATTTAATTTCTGCTTGCGCACAGCAACAGAAGCTTATGCTGCTGCTTTAGCACATTGTACGCAAGGAATATATTATTTGTCCTCTGATGCATTTACTCTCCTAATTAAAAACCGATGAACTGAGACTAACATGGCCTCCACCATTTAATTAAAAAAGTTTACTGTTCTGTGCAATCCATTTATTATTATGTCATCATTAGTTATTGAGATATGAGATCTAGCGTCTCACTGAATTGAAAAATGCAACATATTTATCAGGGTTAACGGATCAAGCAAGAATCACCTTAATTTCAAATTTGTTGCCATGATACCATGAAAATCTAAACAAAATGAAAGGGGGTAAAGGATGAGAACCTTTATAGTCTTCTAGATTAAAAATAGCAGCGAACTCTTCATTTTGTGCCTGAAAAACAAAAGAAACTAAAACATCAGTAATGAAGCATACAGTTTTCTAGCCAGAAAAAAAGATAGACCAAGAACTAGACTTGACTAGACTTGTTATTTCTCATCGCTCCTAACAATTCTTGTTTCACCTCAACAGTGCTGAAATTACTACATGATAAATTATGTAATGAAGCATGAAAAAGAACAAGAAAAAAAAAAAATTTAACCTCAGCAGATGTTATAGAAAAGAATCAACATTTTCATACATACAATCAATAAAATGATGTGTTGTTTCTTCATCCGATTCATATTTTCTAACTCTGAATCATCGTTATTTTCAAGACCACAACTCCGCGCCAAGATTCAAATGAAGAAAGGTCAGTTATATTTGGAAAGCAGCAGATTTAGGTGATGCATAATATGATTATCAACATCCATGCAGGATCACCACATCAGGTGTTATACCATGTGTTTATGTCACGTATAACATTTATTTTATGATTCAATAATTTGTGAGCCCGTATAGTCTATAATAGGTTCTAGTTTTTTGTCTCAGGTACATTATGATATTTGTTTGCTCAAGAAAAATGAAGCTTAAGCATGAACCCCGCTTTTTAGGCTTAGGGTTCCATTCTCCTTAAGGTAGATTGATTATTTTATTAACCAGATTTCTCCTGATAATTGTATCAGAGTTTATTTAGATATGGGTCCTTATTTCCTATAACTTAAGCCCTCATAGTTAATTCTCTCTCCTATTTCGTAACGATGAATCACTTTAGTGTAGCTTAAGACGCTTAAATTTTAGTCTCGTTTGTGGTGGATAGAGGTAGATCCGATCAACATCCTATGGTTCCCTCATCCCAGGAATACTATAAATTTTAATCTACCAACGCTAACAGACCATTGGTTGCATCATCCATGGAATTTAATTAGCAACCATAGGTTACCTCCTCTCAGAGTTCCCAAGTAGACTGGGGTGATTAAATGTTGGTTTTGATTTCGATATGATTTAAGTTTGGGGCTTATGACTCCTTTCAAGAGTTGCCCAAGGGTTTATTTTAGTTTGGGACTTACGGCTCCACTTAGGAGTTTGCCTGTAGATTTTGATTTAGGATGTAGCTTACGGCTCCAGTTGGAGTTGCCCGGTAATTTATTTTAGTTTGGGGCTTACAGCTTTGCTTAGGAGTTGTTCGTAGATTTTGATTTAGGATGAGGCTTACGACTCCGATTAGAAATTTGCTCCGTAATTTAATTTACTTTAGGGGCTTATGGCTCAGCTTAGGAGTTGCCCGTAGATTTAATTTTGGGAATTATTACTTAGAAGTTTTCCAAACAATGGGTCTTACTATTTCCATTGGAAGTGACTTGTGATTTACGTCTGTGATAGGTCTTACTGCTTCCTTTGAAAGTTGTCACATTTAGATTTTGGATTCTTTTACTTCCTTTAGAAGATCCCTTAGCGAATGAGTTAGATTAGAATTTACTACTCATTTAGAAGTTCTCTCTTAGGTCTGATTTAGAGTGGATTTGAAAGCAGTTACATGGTTTTTGTACTTTTCTTCTGCCCGACACTTTTGTTCTTGCTTCAGCACTTTCTTTTCGCTTCAGTAATGTAGTTTATTGTTACAGCACTTGCCTTTTCTTGCTTCAGCACCTGTAGGTTTTGTTACAACTTACAACACTTTCTTTTTGCCTTCTCATTCGCATTTTATGCAACATCTAAACCTATGTTTTTATTTGCTTGCAGGTGTTAGACTCAGCACATACAGGAGTTTTTGCTTGGTAGCGTGTTTGAAATTGGAGGTTGATTAAGTTTAGTACTTAAGAGTTTTGTTGGGTGTGTTAGTTTGAGACTAGAGTTTTGTGATTGAGAGCTATTGTACTTGAGATGATTTTAATTTAAACATTGATTTTATATTTTCTTTCCCTTTCTTTTTTTAGTTGATTGCATTTTTTTAGAGTTAATTATTAATTAAAAAATCAATTACAACAACATCAAGCCTTTATCCCACTACGTGGGGTCGGCTAATTAAAAAATCAATTAATTGACAAAAAAATTAAATTCAAAATTGTGCTTTATTTCAAAGCAATTAATTAATTAATTAAAATATTTTTCATGGTTATTCAATAAAATTAATTATCATCACTTAATTGAAAGTTTTAATTAAAAAGAAACAGATTTAAATGTTCTTAAATTATTATTTAAAATAACTCTCAAATTATTATTTTTTAAATAACTCTTCAAATTGTTTTATTATCATTATTATTTTTTTTTAAATGACTTTTAAATTATTTGGCGGGGGAATTTAAATAGAAATCGCTCTTTTTTTAATTAATGAAAATGCTCCTCTTCATTTTTTTCAAAAATTCGGAATCCTCCTAGTATTCCCTCCCCGCGAGTGGAGGTTAGGACTGCACTTGTTGGTTCTTCTCGCCTGGATCAAAAGATACAACGGCGCTAAGTATTCAAATTAAAAATTATCCCGCTAGGATCAAAGATACAACCACGCAGGGACTTCGAATTAAAAATCCTACCTAAATCAAAGATACAATGGCGTAGGTCTTGAAATTGGTGCGCACCTATTTAAAACCTTTTTTCTCTATTAAAAACCCCTTTTACCTCTCTTTTTTCTTTAATACAAACACCCTATAGACCGGCAAGACACTTGCACTAGTTGGGATATAACATAAAGCAGAGTATTCAGACTGGGCAATTGAGAAAGGCGGACGAACGGGTTGAAATTTTAAGAAAATAATATTAATGATAGCCTGCAATACTAACATTATCAAATATGAGCCAAAAGAGACATTGTTTTGGCAGGACAAAGCAAAGTTGATATGGCACATCAATGAAGTCGGGTAGACAATTTTTTGTCATCTAGAGATTTAATTTCATAAGAGTGAAATCTCACTAATTGGGGGATGATCTGGGGATTAGATCTAGAAAGTGATTAATCAGATCACCTATGATCATAATTTGGGAATCAAATCACGGAAAGATTGAAGGAATTGTTTGTTGAAGTTTTAAGCGTTCAATTTCCTAATTGTGACTAAAATGGTGATTCTAAAAATCACTATTGCCAAAAGTCCGTAGGCTCAATCAAATCATCAATTAGACACCCTACTAGATAGATCGAGGACACAAAATGTGAAAATTGGATGAAAATTCATATTATAACAGTTAAGGATGAATTTGAATTTGAATCTGTAAACCTTTTTAGATAAGCTTGTTTTTTTAATTTACAATCCAAGATTAGAATAATTCTTATTCGAGTTACTGATAGGAAACACTTGAGTTCAAGTGATCCTATCGCACCGGAAGAGGAAAACAGCAAGAAATACTGCTGTTTGCACAATAAACAGTGGAAAACAACAGGAAAAATAGAGGAAATCGGAAAGAGAACACAAGCAATAGACTAGTATTCCACTAAGAGATGAAAGAAAACAACAAACGATACAATGTTCGTCAATTCGAGAGGACGAACAACTCTCCAAATCTCCGGTAACACCAAGAGCCCAAGAACACAAACCCTAGATCCCAAATTACATTCAAATTCAAGATAATCCCCCCTTTTCCTCCTAATCTCCTAATTAACCATAAAGAAGTTTTACAAATTGTCTAAATAGCCCCTCTCATTCAAAATTTCCCTCCCAAAACTCCTCCTTGGCCCCCCGTTGGTTCTGCCTGTGCCGCTCGGTTCTTCCCCGTGCGGTTCCGCCTTGAATAGGTGAGGACCGGTCCGGGTTGGACCGGTCCAGCCGGCCCCTCCTGGGCCGGCCTAACAGTAATCCCCTCCCAAAGACTCACCTTGTCCTCAAGGTAAAAGGAAGGGAATTGATCTTTCATTCTTTCAAACGGCTCCTACGTAGCCTCAAATTCAGAGAGGTCTTTCCATCTAATCAGCACTTCTTTGTTGTCCTCTTTGTCTAGATCCTCAGTCAGTGTAGCTGGTAATTCTTCACTAGTTGCATACTCCCCCAAAGCTTTCCTCAACTGGGACACATGGAACACTGGGTGTATGGTGGTTGTTGTTGGTAACTTCAGTCGATTTGCCACGGCCCCAATTCCGTCCAACACCTCATACGGACCGAAGTATGGTGCCAGCTTCTCGTTCCCCCTTCTAGCAACTGTCTTTTGCCTGTAGGGGCACAGTTTTAGGTACACATTCTCTCCCACTTCAAAATGTATATCCCTCCTATGTGAATCTGCCTGCTTTTTCATGATTTGTTGTGCCCTCAGAATATGCCTCTTCAATTCTTCCAGTACCTTGTTCCTTTCCTCCAAGTACTGCTCCACTAAAGAAACTGGTGTGCTTCCTTTCCCATAGTGCACTAGGTGCAGTGGGCATACATCACCTTGAAAGGAGTCATCAGAGAGGCAGAATGGTATGATGTATTGTACCAGTACTCGGCCCAAGGTAACCACTTCGCCCACGTCTGTGGTGTTTCAGAAGCAAAACACCTCAAATATGTCTCAAATCCTCGGTTCATCACCTCATTCTGTCCGTCAGTCTGTGGATGATAAGTGGTACTTATCTTGAGAAAAGTGCCCTACATCCTGAAGAGCTCCCTTCAAAACTGGCTGAGGAACACTTTATCCCTGTCAGACACAATCGACTCAGGGGTCCCATGTAATCTAACCACTTCCCTAATGAACGCTGCCGCCACTAACACTGCGGTGTAAGGATGTCTTAAGAGAATGAAGTGTGCATACTTGCCAAGTCTGTCCACCACCACCATGATAACTGTGAACCCCTCTGATCTTGGTAAACCATCAATGAAATCCATGGACACTTCCTCCCAAACTTTGTTTGGAAGTGCCAATGGTTGTAGTAGTCCTCCCGGAGCCATGGTCATGTACTTAACACTTCACACCTTGCCACCATCTCCTCAACATCTTTATGCATCCCTTTCCAGTAGAGCTCGGATGCTTGCCTCCTGTATGTTTTCTGAACTCCTGAATGACCTCCAACTGCGCTGCCATGAAACTCCTACAACAAGTGGGGAATATGTATGGAAGTTCGTGGCATCACAAACCTCCCCTGATACAATAGTCTCTCCCCCTTAATGCAGTAACCAGGATGACTACCCTCGTCCTTCCCCAGATCTTCCCTGATCTTCCTCAACTCTTCGTTCAGCATATTTTCTTCCTTGAGGGCCCCCCAATCTACCATCAATGGAACTGACACAGCTAATTCCTGAAGCTCTCCAACACATCTGGATAAGGCGTCAGCTGCTTTGTTTTCCAACCCAGGCTTGTATTGGATCTCAAAATCATAGCCTAATAATTTGGATAACCACCTCTAATGCTTCTTAGTGACCATCCTTTGTTTTAGCAGATATTTCAAGCTTCTCTGGTCAGTCCTTAATATGAAATGCCTTCCCAAAAGATAAGACCTCCACTTCTGAATAGCCAAGACAATGGTCATTAGCACCCTCTCATATACTGACTTCAATCTAGCCTTGGCTGACAGCACTTGACTGAAGTATACTATTGGCCTGTGATTCTGCATCAACACTGCCCCCAGCCCATATCTCGACGAATCAGTCTCCATTACAAAGACCTGGCTGAAATCAGGAAGTGCTAACACTGGAACTGTATTCATGGCTTCCTTCAGTTTTTCAAAGGCCCGAGTTGCTGCCTCTCCCCATAAAAACCCATCCTTCTTCAGTTGCTCAGTCAAAGGCCATCCGATAGCACTATATCCCTTCACAAACCTCCTGTAGTACCCTGTCAATCCTAGGAACCCCCTTAACTCCTTTAGGTTTTTAGGTATTGACCACCTCTGCATTGCTTCTATTTTATTCTGATCTGCCGCCACTCCTTAGGATACCACGTGTCCCCAAGTACTCTACACTGGCTTGGGCGAAGCTGCACTTCTTTGGGTTGGCTTGTAACTGATGTTCTTGTAATACTCCCAAAACCACCTTCAAGTGTTCTAAGTGTTCCCCCCTCAGTCTTGGTGTACACCAAAATATCATCAAAGAATACCAGTACGAACTTCCCGAGGTACTGCTTGAAGATCCTGTTCATCAAAGACTGAAACGTAGCAGCAGCATTAGTCAAACCAAAGGGCATTACCAAAAACTCATAATGCCCTTCATGTGTTCTGAATGCTCTCTTGGGAACGTCTGCCTCCTTCATTCTGATCTGGTGGTATCCTGACTTTAAGTCCAGCTTGGAAAACACCACTGCCCCAAATAGCTCGTCCAATAGCTCATCAATCACCGGAATTGGGAACTTGTCTAGTACAGTGCCCTTATACAGAGACCTGTAATCCACACAGAATCTCCAACTCCCGTCCTTCTTCTTGACCAGGAGGACTGGACTAGAAAAAGGGCTTACACTCGGTCTTATGATCCCCGCCTCCAGCATCTCCCGAATCAGTCTTTCTATCTCATCTTTTTGGATCTGAGGGAAATGATAAGGGCGGACGCTGATCGGTGTCTCCCCTTCCTTCAAAGTAATGGCGTGCTCCAGCTCCCTCTATTGTGGTAACCCCTGGGGAGGTTGAAAAACCTCGCTGAACTGATGAATGAGCGGCTGCACTGAAAAAGGAATATTGCCTTCTTCCGCTAGTTTGACCACTTCCAGATGGTTCAGCTCCACTAAGTAACCTCCTCCCTCCGCCTGAATAGTCCTGATTAGAGATTTGAGAGACACCCTCGCCTTGGTCAGCCCAGCATCACCCTGAATCACCCTCTTCTTTCCCCCCACCACCAGTTCCATCTTCAATGTGCCCCAATTGATCTTGGTCTCTCCCAGGGTCTGCAACCACTTCATCCCTAGGATGACGTCAGTACTCCCCAATTACAAGGGAAGGAAGTCCTCCCTCACCTGGATCTCCTGAATCTTCAGGACTACTCTACAAACTCCTCTCCCCATCTCCACCTTTCCTGTGCCCATCATCACCCCATAGCCTCCTGTATCCACTAACTCCATCCCCAGTAGCTCAACAATCTGGGTGGAAATGAAGTTGTGGGTTGCCCCACTATCAACACCACCACTTCATGGCCAGCTATCACCCCTTTCACTTTCATAGTGTGACTCGAAGTGAATCTCACCACGGAGTTTAGAGAGAATTCTGCCACATCAAGGTGCAACTTCTCCTCCTCTTCTGACCTGCTCCCACCTCCCTCTTCGTCTTCCTCGTCTTCACAAACGAGGAGAACCTGAAGAGTCCGGTCTTTGCACCTATGACCCAACATGTACTTCTCATCACATCGGAAGCACACCCCCTTTGCCCTCTTTTCCTGCAACTCCTTTTCAGTCAGCTTTTTGAACTGTCCTCCATTTTCTCCTCCTCCAGTTTTCTCCTTCTACACTTCCTTCAAACTCCCTGGGGTTGGCCCCTTGGATGGTAAGAAACTAGTCGTCATTCTGTACGATCCCCCTGAGTAATTTCCCCGAGCTCCCCTTTCTGACTTCTTCTGATCTTCCACCAGTTGTGCCAGTTCCATAGCTTTCCCTAAATTCCTCGGTTCCAATACTCTAACTGCTGATCGTATCTCCGATTTCAGCCTTTTCATGAAATTCCCTTCAAAAGCTGACTCCGAGATATGATCCAACCTGCTGGCCAAAAACTCGAACCTGTCGCGATAATCCGCCACGGTCCCCTCCTGAGTCAGGGCAAAGAATTGCTTATAGAAGTCTCCTCCCCCATCGGCTCGGAAACGCTCTAGTAAGCATTCTTTGAACTCTCTCCAGTTCCGGATGGGCTCCCTCCTATCCCGCCATTGATATCATGCCAGCGCTTTTCCTTCCAAACACAGACCTACCGCCATCAACTTCTCCTCCTCCGTCAAGCAGTTGATGGCAAAGTACCGTTCCACCTTGTATATACATCCATGGTCATCCTCCCCCTCAAAGATGGGCATCTTCAATTTTCTCACCTTGGGATCTCCTCCATATCCTCGGTATCCTCCATAACCTCCCATTCCACGATGAGGAGGTGCTTCCCAAGTGTCCCGATCGTCCCGATTGTCCCTCCGGCGATTATACCTTAACCCCTCATATTCTCCTCTTCTCCCTTCAAAAGCAGCACCCCTACGGTGCATCTCTTCCCTTCTTCCCACAAAATCAGCACCTCTTCTATCGTACCCCAGGCTCATCTTCTCTCTAGAAAGCAGTTCTAGAGGAGGCACGTCGTTCTCCCCATGAAGGATCTCCACCTCCGGCATTGTCCTCCCCCAGAACGGGTTCGGATTTCCTCCTACGCCATGGTCGTCGGTGGTCTCTCTTACTTCCTATGTCGCCGGATTGGTCTTCATTTCAAGTAGTTTCTTCATCATCTCTTCCATAGCCGTGAACTTCCCTTCCAACCTTTCATTGTTGGCGGTGATTTCAAGGAATTTTCCCTTCAAATCTAATTTTAATTGGTCAAATTCGCCTTCCAGGACTTCGACCTTCTTTCCGGCCAACTTTCTTTCCATGAGTCACAAGAGAACTTCCTCCGAATGCCAAAAAACCTGCTGAAATTTCTGGATTTCAGCCGCCGATGGTCCCAAGATGATGCTCTGATACCAATTTGATAGGAAACACTTGAGTTCAAGTGATCCTATCGCACCAGAAGAGGAAAACAGCAAGAAATACTGCTGTTTGCACAGTAAACAGTGGAAAACAACAGGAAAAATAGAGGAAATCGGAAAGAGAACACAAGCAATAGACTAGTATTCCACTAAGAGATGAAAGAAAACAACAAACGATACAATGTTCGTTAATTCGAGAGGACGAACAACTCTCCAAATCTCCGGTAACACCAAGAGCCTAAGAACACAAACCCTAGATCCCAAATTACATTTAAATTCAAGATAATCCCCCCTTTTCCTCCTAACCTCCTAATTAACCATAAAGGAGTTTTACAAATTATCTAAACAATCCCTCTCATTCAAAATTTCCCTCCCAAAACTCCTCCTTGCCCCCCCGCTGGTTCCGCCTGTGCCGCTCAGTTCCGCCCCGTGCGGTTCCGCCTCGAATAGGTGAGGACCGGTCTGGGTTGGACCGGTCCAGCCCTAACAGTTACCTTTTAAGCTTGCACTTACTAGGTTATTAGACATAAATTTTCTTTTCTTCATTTTTTGGGAGGAATTTGTTTAGTTATAATTTAGATCAAGCCATGTTATAATTGTCTATTCAAAGGCTTGAAATTCTACAAATAATTAATCAGAATTTTCTCCCAAGGAATCCTTCTTTTCATCATATTCTATATCTTCTGATCCCTACTCGTCTACTAGACTTAGGTTCCCATTTACCACTCTTGCAGCTAATTGCCAAATGTTTGGTTTTTGATATCAATGTTTGCCTTATTGTTTTGCCGTTGTGTTTGCTGGCTGACTGCTAGGATGATATACTTTTTATTTGCTGTCAATGTTTGCCTTGTTGTTTTTCCATTGTGTTTGCTGACTTATCAGTTGCCTTGCTGTTTGCAACATTGTTGTTGCCTCGCTGTTGCGAACTCTAGTGCTGTTGCAATGCCCCGAGAAGAAAAAAAAAACTGTCGTTCTTTGTTGTTTCATGGAAAACATAGATGATAGAAATAGCGAAATCAAAGAAAATCTATATACAATGAGAGAAAACTTATAGAAGGTTGTTCTAAGGATCAATTGCCAACATGGGCATTGTACATGCCTAGCTCTTCAAGTAGTTAAAGCTGTGCTTGTAAGCAAAAATAAAAAGTTTACCAGACTCTGAACCCGAAAGATGCTATACTTTACCTGAATTTGAAGCAACAGCTGCTCTTGTGCCTCAATATTGTGGGTAATTTCTTCACGGATTGAATCATACTTCGCTATTTCTTTCTTGAAGAGATCTTCATGTGATCCACTGGTAGCCAACAATTTTGGCAGTATATCATCCTAAGTATACAACAATGAAATCATGAACCAGGCCAAGCTTGTAAAAAATTTCAAGTTGGTTTTGAGCATTCAATGTGAATTCAGCCACATAATAATAATAACTAAATTGAACGTTTTGCTATTCCCAGAACAAACGGACATCTTTGCAGCTTGCTCAACAGGATAATATACAAACAACAATAAAAAAGGCACTAATATGAACTGCATTCCTCAAGAACATCTGGATGGTCGTTAAGATCCCTCGCACAGCTAGGCAATTATAGAACTGTAGTACTGGAAAATGAAAAATATACAGGAATGTGCGCACTATAATCAGGCATTTTTTATAATTATTTTCTATCATTTTAACTAGGAACTTAACTAAAGAAATCAGAGAAACTCAAGATGACTTTATAACTACACATTCAAAAAACATTAACAACAAATACTCAATATGTAAGAAAGTGTAGAACTTAAAAAAAAAAAAAAAACAGCATCACATAACCCTAGTTATGCAAATTATTTTTTCAAAATACAAAGTAAACATCTGACCAAATGTGTTACGTTAACATGTTGCAGACTGTAAATAAATCCATAAACACACCCCGCTTCAACGCAAGCCCATTTGGCTTAACCCAGTAGAAAGAATAGCAAAGGGACAAGAGTTTATAGAGGTAATTGATCATGAAAGTTAGCTTCTGAAATAGAGAAAGGGAGAGAAATTCCAATCCTATAAAATTAGCAAGATTATTGCAAGGAACTTCAAGAAAACCATTACTTCATATAGTAGTTGAAATTCATCAAAGAATAAATTCATCATTACTTCATAATCCCAGGCATCTTTATTTGAAGTTTAGTCTGCTCAAATTTTTATCCTAAATTTAATTTTCTCAGTTAAGTATATTCGTATGTTTTATTTTGCATTTCATCTATGCAAATGGCTAATTTTCATTATAAAATAGAAAATTAGTTTCTTTCCAAATGTTTATTTATAAATAATGAAATTTAAATAAATTGATATTTTACTTAAAATTTTATAATAATAATTTTGAAATTTTAAACCTTATTCTCGTGCACTTTGTGCACATGCAAATATACTAGTTCTAATAAAGACAGGAAAAGCTTCAGGTTCCTCAATAAATGAAAGGAACAATTTGAACAGATTTATAGGTGAAAGCTGTTAAAGAAAGATACACACCTTTCTTTTCATTTCTTTAAGCATATCTTCCAAGCCTGCCCTTTGCGCGCCAAGATCTCCAGCTTCTCTGTTCACACATGAAAACATTTAAAGAATTAAGCATGGAAAGTTGCAAAAGCAGTTAGTAAGCTGGGAATTGGATGCAGTTCTGATCTCTGGAAGAATGGCTTTATGAGGAGACCATAAGAACTGAGCTTTTTGCTCTTTGGGATGTCATTCTTACCGAAGCAAATAATGAATGTATGAGAAAACATTTGCAACAATGCATTGGAAAATTGATTAAAAAAATTAAAAATCAATCAACGTTTTCTATGAAATATGGAACAAAGTAATAGGAAGGTGATAAGGGTAAAAATATACAAAGTGCATTAAACACCCAACAGTCGTCTAATGATACTGGCACCAGTTCATTATGTTCAATTCAAGTTCCTAGGTAGCTTCTTCCG